TATTTTGCCCAAGTAATTGTATTTATAAATTTAAAAAAATCAGAATTTATATAAAGCTAATATCTTTAGAAATAGCTTTTTGATCCTTCCTGCCTCTAAAACTTATTACCTTGTATAGTTTATAAGCATTTTTGCAGATCATTATGTTGAATAACTGGGTTTTAAAATTCTGTAAGCATCATAACAGGATATTTAGAGAAATGTATGCTTTTCTTAAAACACAAACCTCTTTTTAAATGCCATGCATTCTTTGGGGAGTATGCACAAAGCATTATTAAGAAGTCCTACCCTTTGGTTCCATTCATTTTACTAAATATATTAGTATAATGATTATATAATTTGTCTTTTCTGTTTATGTGTGTAAAATCAGATAATAGCCCCTAACACAAAAACTGAACTGGACTAGAAGGTGGGGAATATTTTTGCCTATTCTGTTCAATACATTATCTCATATTAGGTTGCCAACAAAATTAAGACCCTACAATTGTCATAAAAAATCTCGAAGCACTATCATGGTATACTCTGCTGGGGTTTAAAATCCTAGAATGGAAGAGAATTGTAACATAATTATTACATTAATATTTTAAAGAATGAACAGTTTATCTCTTCACTAGTTTTTAAATAGTCTATTATTTATGTCACCATGACAATTGGAACAGTATAAACTTTGTCACTATCCGCTTAATAATTATTCCATTAAAATTAAGTTAGACAGAAAATGTCACTTCACTGTGGAAATAGCAGGTAACTACCTTTTGAATATGTAAATTCTTACCTTTAGGCTTTTTTTTTTTTTTTTAAAGCAAACAAGTAGGTTAGGGCTAGCCAACTGCTCCAGCAGCACACTTTACACTGTTAGAAATGTTTGTCAACAGAGCCAGAATAACAGTCCCAAAGTAAAAACCACCTAGTTATATCCAGAAAAGTCTTCGGGCATGGACATTGTCCTTAGGGATAACAATGCATTCCCAAAATGGTTAGATGATGAACTAAGTGCTAAATACCATCCTGGTATTACATTTTATATTTACATTTAGGCTTCTGGTTTTACTTGCTTGCTGGTTTATAGAAAGTCCTAAGCACTGAAAGTTAATTCAAATCACCATTTTCACCTCCTAAAATCAAAGATCATCACAAACAACAGACTTATTCTAACCTTTATTAGACATATTTAAAACAGCAATGTAAAAATAATATTATAATAACTATACATGGTGTCAGATGGGTATCAGATTTATAGGGGTGATCACTTTGCAAGTTAAACTTGTACATCTGAAGCTAATGTAATATTGTATGTCAATTGTAACAGAAAAAATAATTACAAAAGAAAATACCAATATTAGCATCCAGCCCACAGCTTTCCTGAAGCTCTCAGGTTACTCTGTCCCACTGTGGATAGAGTAGAGAAGGTAGGACAGGCAGGGGTAACAGAGGTAAGGTAAGAATCACAAACAGAAAAGGAAGCAGCAGGGTAGTAGTTCTACTGGCTCCTTGAAACAAATTCATTTTATCTAATGACTTTTTATCAGTCTATAATTTGTTTCCACTCTGACAATAATTATAAATACAGACAGATTCTTTCATACATATATATACTAGAGGCCCAGTGCACGAATTCATGCATGGGTGGGGTCCGGCTGGCCCCGTCCCAGAATGGGGTGGGTAGGGGGGCCAATAGGGGGTCAGTGGCCTGTGGGAGGGTGCATGGGTGGTTGGCTGGCTGGCCCTGCCCCTGATTGGGGTGGGGGGATGATCTGGAGTGGGGCTGGCCAGGGGGAAGGGCCGCAGGAATTTGGCCAGCCGGCCCCACCCACAGCTAAGGCCACAGTGGGCATCATAGTGACCGGTCATTCTGGTCATTCCTGTGTTCCCGTGGCTGGCTCTTTATATATATTGATACTAGAGGCCTGGTGCATGAAATTTGTGCACTCAGGGGGCAGGGGGATCCTCAGCCCAGCCTGCACCCTCTCGCAGTCTGGGAGCCCTCAGGGGATGTCTGACTGACGGCTTATGTCCGACTGATGTCTCTGAGGGGAGCGGGACTAAGCCATCAGTCGGACATCCTTAGAGTTGTTGTGGAGGCAGGAGAGGCTCCCACCACCACCACTGCGCTTGCCAGCCATGACCCCAGCTTCTGCCTGAGCAGTGCTCCCACGTGGGAGTGCTCTGACCACCAAGGGGCAGCTCCTGCATTGAATGTCTGCCCCGTGGTGGTCAGTGCACATCATAGTGACCAGTTGTTCCACCATTTGGTCGATTTGCATATTAGCCTTTCATTATATAGGACTAGAGGCCCGGTGCACAAAAATTTGTGCACTCGGGGGGAAGGGGGGTCCCTCAGCCTGGCCTGTGCCCTCTCACAGTCTGGGACCCCTCGGGAGATAACGACCTGCTGGCTTAGGCCTGCTCCCGGGTGGCAGAGGGCAGGCCTAACCCCTAGGGGCAGCCCCTGGTCGGGCTCAGAGCAGGGCCAATTGGGGAGTTGGGGCGCCGCCCCCTGTCATGCACAGAGCAGGGCAGATCAGGAGGTTGTGATGCCACCCTCAGTCATGCTCAGGGTAGGGCCGATTGGGGGGTTGGGGCACCACCCCCTGTCACACTCAAGGCAGGGTCAATGGGGAGGTTGCGGCTCCACCCCCTGTCACGCACAGAGCAGGGCCCATCAGGGGGTTGGGGAGCTCCCCCGTCAAGCACAGAGCAGGGCCGATCAGAGGGTTGAGGAGCTGCCCCCTGTCACTCACAGAGTAGGGCCAATAGGGGAGTTGGGGCACCACCCCCTGTCACACACAGAGCAGGGCGGATCAGGGGGTTGGGACGCCGCCCTCTATCACCCACAGAGCAGGGCCAATCCGGGGGTTGGGGCACTACCCCCTGTCACGCACAGAGCAGGGCCCATCAGGGGGTTGGGGAGCTCCCCCATATCAGGCACAGAGCAGGGATGATCAGGAGGTTGGGGAGCCTTCCCCTGTCAGGAACAGAGCAGGGTGGATAGGGAGGTTGTGGCCCCGCCCTCTGTCACACACAGAGCCGCAGGGCGATCAGGGGGTTTGGGTGCTGCCCACTGTCATGCTGATCCCGGTGCTGGGAGGCCTCGCGGCTCCGCTGATCCCAGTGCTGGGAGGCCTCGTGGCTCCGCTGATCCTGGTGCTGGGAGGCATATTACCCTTTTACTATATAGGATAGAGGCCTGGTGCATGGGTGTGTGCCAGCTGGTTTGCCCTGAAGGGTGCCCTGGATCAGGGTGGGGGTCCACACTGGGGTGCCTGGCCAGCCTGGGTGAGGGGATGATGGCTGTTCACAGCTGGTCACACACCCTTCAGGGTGGGGTCCCCACTGGGGTGCCTGGCCAGTCTGGGTGAGGGGCTGAGGGCTGAAGCTCCCAACTGCTCCTTTTTTTCTTTTATAATTTTATTCTGGGCCAGCTTTAGCTCTGGCTCCAGCTCTGAGGCTTCTGCTGCTGAAAGCAGGTATCTGGTTTGTTTGGGTTCTATAATCGAAACAATGTATAACTCCAGCTCTGAGATCCCAGCTCGCTGAAAGCAGGTTTCTGGGGTTTTGTTTAGCTTCTATATTTGTTACAATGTTTCAAACTGCAGGCTCAGAGGCCGGCAAGACAGGTGGGGAACGTTGGAGTCCTCCGTCACTGAAGAAAGCAAGCCTCATGTTAGTTTCAAGCTGCCTGGCTGCCAGCCGCCATCTTGGCTGGCAGTTAATTTGCATATCTCCCTGATTAGCCAATGGGAAGGGTAGCGGTCGTACGCTAATTACCATGTTTTTCTTTTATTAGATAGGACTAGAGGCCTGTTGCACGAAGAGATTCGTGCAATAGGCCTTCCTTTCCCCTGGCTGCTGGCACCAGTTTTCCTCCGGCACCCAGCACCCAGGCCTTCACTCCTGCTGGGCTCCAGCCAGAGGTGACCCCGTGGCCATGAGGCTTTCGCTGCTCCGTGGGCCCCGGGGCTGTCAGGCTTCACTCCACCGCTTGGAGCGCACGTATGCAAATTAACCACCATTTTTATTAGGTTAATTTGCATACTCTCCTGATTGGCTGGTTAGCATAGCGAATGTACGGTCAATTTACATGTTTGTCTATTATTAGGTAAGATGGATGGGTAGATAGATAGATAGATAGATAGATAGATAGATAGATAGATAGATTGACTGATTGATTTCAGAGAGAAAGGGAAAGGGAGAGAAATAGAAACATAGATGAGAGAAAATCATTTATTGGCTGCCTTCTGCATGCCCCTTACTGGGGAATCAAACCCGCAACCCAAGCAGGTGCCCTTGACCAGAATTAAACCTGGGACCCTTGAGTCCGAAGGCCAACGCTCTATCCACTGAGCCAAACCAGCTAGGGCTAACAGATTCTTTAGAGTGCCTCTCATCTCAGCATAACTCCAAATACTGTGATAACTTGGTTGCAAAGATGGCACCAACCCTATCTCCCAGCTAGCAGATCTTCTGCAATGCGATTTTACTACTACTCTGATCAGAGGTGAATCTGGCCTTCTGATTTGTTTTAACCAATAGAATGTGGCAGAAATGATGGTGTGTGGCTTCTGAAGCTAAGCTTCTGACACATTATGGTGTCCACGTTCACACTTTGGGGCACTCCTTCTTGGACTCTTGTTTTGAGATTGCCATGCTATGAGGAAGCCCAAGCTAACCTTATGGAAATGCTATATACGGGAAAGGATAGGTCCCCTGACTGAGAAGGCCACTCAATCCCATTTCCCAGATAATTTACTAACTGGAAGTAACCACCAGTGACTCCAAGTAAGACCGGCAGGAGAAGCATCTCATCAACCCACAGGATCAAAAGAAATAATAAATCATAATTTTAAGCCACAAAATATTTGAATGGTTTGTTATGCAACAATAGATAATTGAAAGATGTGCCCTAACAAAACACCTCATAGATCAGTTAGGAAAAAAGCATTTATAAAGCTAACAACTTTATTGATTTGTTGGTTATCTTTTCTAGATTAATGACTTACGTGTGGTGCAGTCTTTTCCTGTGTAACCAGGAGGACAGTCACAGTTTCCAGTTTTTTTGTTACATTGACCTCCATTCTCACAGGGTCCACAGGAGACCTCACACTCTGGTCCCCAGAGTCCATCAGGGCAGGCTTGTAAAGTAAAAAGACAGAAAGAAAGGAGCTAAGACTTGTAATAAATCAAGATGGTCCCAGGTAAGTGAGTTGGAAAAGTGTTGTGTGTGTGCGCGTGTGTGTATGTGTGTGAGTGAGTGCACGTGTGTACCCCTGGGAAGCAAACAAAGGAACATTTGAGTAGCCTCCAAGGATTTCTAGCACTTCCAAAAATATTCCTTGAAGAAACCAACATGATGCTGTATCTGTCACGTTGGAAACACAGATACAGAGATTGTGTTTTTGCTGAAAATGTGATTTTTCAGACAGTGACAATGGAAGCGATTTTGATATATGTCTTTGGAGGCAGTTGCACAGAAAAAAACCTGAAAATGAGATGTAATTTGTAAAGGAAGCTTAGGAGGAGCGATGCTTGGGAAGCTGTCCCCAAATGGTCGCCTGAATCCTTTCTCCTAGACTTTGCTTCTATTGTCAGCCAGAAGAACCACCCCAGGGACTTCTAATTTGTGTATTTTATAGGAGCAAATAATGTACAAAGAGGAGAAAGTGCTGCTTTGTTGAATGCCTTTGAGCTGGAACAGAGGGCTGATGCTGCTGGGACCTCTGAGGGCTCGGAGAGAGGCTTCCGCCTGCATCCTACCACCAAAACCACTGGAATTAGAAACCTGGTAGAAAGCATTCCTTTAACACAGAGACAATGGTGAAACTTTTCTAAACACATCACAGTCGTGGGAAGTTACATCAGACCAAGTTAGCCTGTGAAGTATCTTCTTTCCTGGGCAGCACTTCACTGAATAACAGAATTATTAAATTTCCTGGGATGTTTAAACCATTTCTGGCCATTATCTTTTGATCACTTACTCTGTGACGTGCACTTTACATACATTAGCTCACATTTGCATAAAAATTACTATATGACATAAGCAACTTTAGCTTCATTTTAAATAGGAAATTGAGGCTGGGAGAGGTTAAGTGACTTACTCTGAGCCAAACAGCTCAGAAAGAGCAAAGTCAGAATCGAACCCAGATCTTCTGGCTCTCGGCACTACAGCAAACTTAGGCTGCAAAACTAGCCACTCAGCACCTGTCAAGTCAATTAACTGAGAGACACCAGAGTTCAAATTTGAAGTTCATTCAATGTGGAACGACTGTAACATAAGTCTGTCCTTATTATAATAATATAAGGGTCGAATAAGCCTCCATAGATGGACTCCAGGGCCAGCTGGGCCAAAGTCCTCCACATTCAGAGGTCTGCCTGCAGCTGGGGTCCAAAATGCCCCGGGCTACAAACTAATCAAAACAAAAACATCGGCTGCATTTTATTTCCCCTCTCTCTCATTTTTGCTCTTTCACAGATTCCTGTAGATACTGGCTCTTCTGCTCTTAAAAGTCATGACTGATGGGCTAAGTAAGACCTGGTGCTGATTGTGGAGAGCACTGTTCATTAGTGCCATTGAAACAATTTGCAGCCTTTAATTAACTATTCATCTGCAATCGAGACACAGGGATGGAGTCAAGATTTTTAAAGACATGTCTGGCTCTAGGAGCACTTGAAAAAGAGAAAGAAAAACAGGCCTGATTTTCATCATGCCCATGGTTTGGAGAGCTCTTTTTGCCTTGATTTCAGCTGCCAATCATGGTGATCCCACTCCGGTCTGATTCATAATTTCATTTTGTGGTTAGACACAAATATCAGAATTGGACAAAGTTATCTGATTGAAAAATAATATGTTTTTGAGAGATTATGGTGACCTCTCTATTTTGCTGATTTGCATATACTTTCAACTCATTTTTCTTCACAGTGGGAATCTCAGAAGCATGTTCCAATACAGTATATTCAGCAGCTGCTTTAAGAGAAAGTTATCAGAATAAATTAACTTTACCCAGGTGTGTGTGTGTATATGGTATTGTCTCCTCATGCATTGCCTTCCAGGCCATGGATTCTCTGGTGGGGATGTGAAGAAGGGGCTGACTCTAGCCTTAAAAATCAGTTGAAGCAGAAGGAGGCTGAGAGATTTGGCCTGCGACCCACTCTTACATCATGGAAAACACATTTGTGTAATATCAGGGTTCTGGCCCAAGTACTTTTCCCCATTGCTTAAAAAGTCACAGTCCAGCTCCCTAAATAGCCCTCGCTCCATGAAATCTATATGGACATTGCTGTTTACACACTCCAGTTCCATAGCCACAGGATGATCTGGGAGACCTAGAGTACTTTCTCCCTTTCAGTCACCTCCAACAGGCCCTGCAACTCTCAGAAGGTGGTCATGAAAGGAGCACTTGTGATACACAAAGGCCAAAGACAGCTCCACACCCAGGGCCTGTTGCTATGAATGGACTATAAGGTGTGACTATCTCCTTTCAAACCTGATAGGGGCAGAAATAGAATATCGGGGGACAGCTATAATTGTAAGTAGAATTAATCATGCTCTTTTAACTGTGATTGTGTTGTTATGATTAAAGAAGGCACATTCTAACCTGGCTGGGAGTTGCACACAGGACCTGGGAGCTCACTTGGAAATGCAGCCCATCCTCCCCATCCTGGAGCTGTCTATTATCATGGAAAGATTAAAAACCTTGTTGTAGAAACCAGAGCACTCAGCCCTTTGCATATCCTCAGGCCTTTGCAACTATCCAGCCCACATTACCTGTAAACTACCCATTTGCCATGCCCTTTTGCCTACTTCCCCATATAATCTTCATCTTTTTACCCAATATAAGCAGCTGGCTTATGGTGGGGGACAGAGCAGATTTTTGTGGATGACCTGCTACTCTCCCATACTGTCAGCATTATTGATTCAACACTGTCTCTTGTTGAATTGGCTCAAATAGTGACAGACAGCTCAGACCCTTGATTGACTGGTTATAAAACCACCAAATGTCCTCCAGATTTAAAAAAAAAAACATTGCTCTTTACCCAGCTGGCTTGGCTCAGTAGTTGAGCATCAACCTATAAGCCAGGAGGTCACTGTTCCATTCCCAGTCTAGGGCACATGCCTGGGTTGCAGGCTCAATCCCCAGTGGGGGGCGTGCAGGGGGCAGCTGATGGATGATTTGCTCTCATTATTGATGTTTCTATCTCCCTCTTCCTTCTTCTCTGAAATCAATAAAAATATATTAAAGTGGAAAAAAGATTGTTCTTGGATCATGTCAAAGGCAAATAGTTCACCTTGCTGTTAGTTATGATCATTTCATTTGTTATATGTTCCATCTCACTGTGATAATTTCTCCTGAATAAAGCAGTACCAAGTGCTTAATGCAGAATACATGATACCATGAGAAAATATCTATAAAACATAAAATTAAAGATTCATTTTATGTATTCAGTTCAAAGCACACTTATTGACCAAGTCCTGGATGTCAGGATTGTTCTAGGAGTTTGGGGACATTTTGTTGAACAAATGGAACAGCTACCTTTCTCCTGTAGTGATTAGCTTCTAGCAGGGAAGACAGGCAAAAAATATTAGACATAATAATAATTATAGGATATGTTATGTTTAAAGATAAAAAGCACTTGGGAAAAAATAATAAGAGTTCAAAAAGACATACAAGTTGCAATTTTAAGGAGGGTGGTACTGAGGAGGTTCAGTGAAAAGGTGGCCTAAGGCTTGGTGATAAAGTGGAAAAACCCTACAGATACCCAGGGAGAAGATCTCCATGAGACCACAGTGGAGACAGCCATTTCTAAAACATGGAATACCCTTTTCCAAATTTTCTATGCACTGACACACTTATATCAACATAGGTTACTGATAATTGGAATTAGGATGTACATAAACTTTTATATTTCTATATTTATTTTTAAAAAAAACTATGTAATACTTAGAAATATGCAAAAGGACCACACTGATAACTAGATTTAAATTTTCCAACATGTTTCTGTGGTTAGAATTTTGAGGTGAATTTGTTCGAATGATCTGTCTTTAGATATAAAGAGAATTATTTTTTTTTACTCTGAAAGTTAGCAGTGCCCTTGGTTGATTTGTTCACCTCAAAGAAGTGACTGACCAGCTTTAATCTTCTTATGACAAGGTTCTTTGCAATGTGATCTTTCTTCCCTTCCTTGCCCAAGCTCCTAAGGGGACAGCTAAAGCAGAGGCTGAGATGGCAAGGTTAAATAAGGTTATTGCCCTGTGTCTCAGTTTCCTCACCTGCAAATAGGGGATTAATAAAGCTTACCCATCTCCTGAGAACACTGGCGGATGAAATAATTAATGATCAGATGGTGCTGAACAAAGGCTGAGCATTGTTATTAGAGAAGAAAGAAAATGTAGCATCAGATTGTACCTTTCTGGCATCTGTTGCCTTGGTAACCAGATTTGCAGGTGCAACTGCCATTTTTGGCGCTGCATTCCAGGGTGTTCTCCTCCACACACTGACATTCTGAAGCGCAGCCAGCCCCATAGGCCCCCTTGGGACAGTCTGCAAGCAAATTGAGGCAAACTGTCACCTGAAAACCACACCTTGGTGGTTTTTCCACATTGTTAGTGCACAGGCATGTAGTTCTGCAGGGCCTGATTATGGGGAAAACAAGGGTATCATCCTAACTGCCAAAAGAAAAAAACAAAAAAATGAGGGAAACAAATGTCTTTCAAATCAGGCAATTCATTTGCTTTTTGGCAAGTGGATGTGAACAGTGAAGCCTGCACTGCTTAAAAGGCTTTGCGGCTTCTGGTAGAAATTGCTTCTCAATGTGCTCCATTGGGGCCCATAGTTAAAATTCTCCAAGGACTGCAAAGGCCTGCCAGGCCCCATATTCATCCTGCCACAGCATGGAGATGATGGACAAGCACTGATGGGAACCTCACCATTGTTCTCCTTCCCTTTCATTATATGCTAATCAGAAATACTTTTACATTCTGTAGATAACACAAAACTTTCATCCTGACAGTAGCATTATCTTGGCTACATCTTTGACAAATGGTGCTTGCCTTCCCTTCACTATTTTCCCCATGCAATCAGGTTTTACAAATGGAATGATAGCACAGGAATTCTCACTTGAAAATCCTACCTTTGCATTCAGGAAAGCCTACCCTTAGGTCTCTCTTTGAGGAGTTACTTACAGTAATTCAATCCCCTTTCCAAAATACACACCTGGCCATTTTTTCTTTCCCTTACAGATGTCCAAGGGACTTATCAAGTAAAAGATCCTTCAAGTGCCCTCCAGGCTCAAGGTAATTGTATTGAATGTCTATATAGGCTTTTAAAGAACAACATAAGCCAATTGATTTTCTGGTGAATGGAAATGAACATCTTCTAATATCTACTATCATTAGCAGAGATAATTGAGAGTGGTGGTTACAATGCCATGATGTAGGGTGATTCTTGTCCCTGCCAGGATGGACAGGGTTACCTCTAAAGCAGAACAGATTAGCAGGGCTCCTTTTCCATTGTTAATATTATCTCATTTGGATGATAAATTATACTAATCCTTGTTCATCTTTCCTGTGGCTTCTAAGTATTGAGTCCTTCCCCAGCCCTACCATCCCCAAGGTCTCTCAGTGAGATTGTCTTCCTTGGTGCAGGCCTCTCCTTGTTCATCCCAGAACTCTCCCCTGCATTGACTTCCATGCCCTTCCTCTTTCTGGCCCAGCATCCAGAACAGTGGTTCAGTGGACAGCTCAGGAACAATGGAGTACTTAAAATGTGACAGGTGGGTATATCAAGAGCTTATCACTGGAAATGTGACTAGAAAAAAAAAGGACAAGTGGGAGAAGTAACTTCTTTAGTCAATCCAGTGTCCACTCAGTGTTATACATTGAAATATGTCCTCCAAAAATTCATATGTTGAAGTCCTCACCCCCAATACTTCAGAAAGTGACCTTATTTGTAAACTACATCATTAATGATGTAATCTGTTAAAATGAGGTCATACTGAAGGATGGGCCTCTAATCTGATAAGGCTGGTGTCCTTATACATAGAGGACATTTGGACACAGAGATACTCATACAGGGAGGATGCCATGTGAAGACTGGAGTTATGCTGTCATAAGCGAAGAAAGCTAGGATAGAGGTCTGGAACTGATCCTGGTGCCTTCAGAGGGAGTATGGCCTGCTAACACCTTCACCCCAGACTTCTAGCCTCAAGAACTGTGAGGCAATAGATATCCATCAGTGAAGGCACTCCGTTTGTGGCACTTTATTACAACAGCTCTAGAAAATTAATATAGGTTTTCAAACTGAAGCTTCTCAGGGCCAGACAAGTGGCATTAATAAATGAGGCCTCACATCTAAGCAAAAAGTATTGAAAAATTGAAAAGTGCATATCTTTTTGAAAGATGGTCACAGTCAAAATGCTAACTACTATTACCACCACCATCACCATTTGCTCTTCAAATATTTGACCAGATGAGTTATGATTTTAATGTTTTTTTTTGCCAAAATATCTAGTATTGCCTTATAAGATATTCAAAAGTTATTGCTACAAAATGGGATGTACCCTGTTATCCCAGAGCAGCGATTTTCAACTGGTGTGCTGCAAGAATTTTTAAGACATGCAATACCTGAGTATTTAGTCAGGGGACTGACCTCTTTTCCCTTAGACTGTCAAATAATTTAAAAAATGACACAGCCAACACAACAACAGCTCTCTGGTGTGAATGCCCATCTTGAACTATAAATATACAGGTACTAGAATAGAATTGCATCTTATTGGTCATGTCACAAATAAGGTTGCATCTGATTGGTTAATTCTTGGTACCAGAAATCCTTATATACTAGGTATAAGTATAGGCACCTGATTTTTTTTTTTTTTTTAAACTCACTTTGGAGCAAAAGGGTAGGTAATTACTATTATTATTTTTGGTAAACCAATAAAAATTATACCTATTTTTTGTCACATCACCAAAAAAAGAAAAATTTGTTGGTGTCCTGCAGAATTTTAGTATTTAGTTTATGTATCCTACTAGATGCAAAGGTTGACAATTGCTGCCCTGGAGAAACAATAATAGAAATGATGTTATCTTTGTTTCTAGGTGAGTTTTCTTCTCTTGGCATATTCTAGGAGGTACATGATGTTCTGGAACATGCCCTCTGAACCTGCATTTTTCACATTTACCCCTGCCTTCTCCCTTTCTCTTCTATATTACTAACCCAAGCCAGACCGTTCCTCATTACCCAGGTTTAGCTTTCCATGATGCCTTCCTGGCTCTCTATTTGGAGTCACAATTTACTCTCTGTTTTCTCAGGACATACCTTTATAAAATAGACAAAATCCATGGATAATCAACTAAAAATGCAATATAAAACTCTAAAAGGTCTCTGTTATTAAGAAACTAGAGCAGGGGTAGGCAAACTTTTTGACTCGAGGGCCACAATGGGTTCTTAAACTGGACCGGAGGGCCGGAACAAAAGCATGGATGGAGTGTTTGTGTGAACTAATATAAATTCAAAGTAAACATCATTACATAAAAGGGTACGGTCTTTTTTTTCAATAGTTTTATTCATTTCAAACAGGCCGGATCCAGCCCATGGGCCGTAGTTTGTCCACGGCTGAACTAGAGGCTCAGTGCATGAAATTCATGCAGTGGGGAGGGTGTCCCTCAGCCCAGCCTGCACCCTCTCCAATCTGGGATCCCTCTCACAATCCAGAACTGCTGGATCCCAACTGCTCACCTGCCTGCCTATCTGATTGCCCTAACCACTTCTGCCTGCCAGCCTGATCACCCTGAACCACTCCCCTGCCAGCCTGACCAATGTCTAACTGCTCCCCTGCCGGCCCAATTGCCCCTAACTGCCCTCCCCTGCCAGCCTGGTCACCCCCAACTGCCCTCCCCTGCAGGCCTGATCCCCTCAACTGCCCCCCTTACAGGGCTGGTCCCTCCCAACTGCCCTCCCCTGCTGGCCTGATTGCCCACAACTGCCCTCCCCTGCAGGCCTGGTTCCTGCCCAACTGCCCTCCCCTGCTGGCCTGATTGCCTACAACTGCCCTCCCCTGCCGGCCATCCTGTGTTCACATGGGGGCGGCCATCTTGTGTGTTGGAGTGATGGTCAACTTGCATATTACCTCTTTATTAGATAGAAAGATGGGTCATGGTATTTCTGAGGTCCACTTGGGAGGACTTTCAGAGGAGAGCACACAGAACAGGTAGAGGAACAGGATAGAGAATGTTTCAGGCTCGCAGGTGCTCGCACATAACTACAAGATGGGATGGTGGGCACCCAGAGACGTCCCATTAGGAGAAATCCTATAAGCTACTTAAGAGACTGAATTACTTATTGGTGATTGTGTGTTCTCACATCTTTTGCAAAACATGATTGATGGCCAAAATGCAAAATAAATAGCCTGTTGCAGAAATTTTAGGGAATGATATTGTTATGCACTAGAACCCAGAAATAATGGAGACTTTTTCTGTTCATTTTAATATGCAGCTGCCACAAAGTGCCAAGCCTCCTTCTAAATGAGCTAGTAACATTTCTTTCTCAATAATTAAGGTAAACACTAATGAGGAAAACACGTAAAGAATTCAGATATAGTTTTCTTTCATTCATCAAAATCTAAAGTCTCTAAAATAAGAAGTTTAATCTAAGACTAGAACATAAATTATCACATATACATACATATGTGTGTGTGTGTAAATTATGGTTTTGGTCTCTTCCTTTTTCTAATTTTTGGTACTTTTCTGAGCCTCCTTGCTTCACACAGAGAGCAAATGTAGTGCCTGTGACTTACTCAGATGACAAAACCTCCCATAGCGCCCTGGCTCACACACACAGGCACCGTACACCCTGTGGCAATGGCCATTGTTGGCACAGTTACATTTCCTTTTGCAGTTCTTCCCAAAGAGTCCTTTAGGGCATCCTAGAGGTGGGAGCACAAACAAAGCACACATTAACCCATATGCAAAACTTGCTAGAGCTGCTGTTACATGAAATAAGGAGCTCGCAAAAGGTGAGATGTTCCCAGTCTGGGTGGACTGAGGCTGCTGAGAACTTTTAAAATTTACCCTCTGCCTAAATTCTATAATGATTGGACACTCCTGTCAGGTTAAAACTCCAAACTTAACAAGACTGTGAGCCTCTACTTCGACTGCCTCGTGCAGCACTGCTACTCTCCGAAGGACTTTTACTCCACCCGCTGACCTGGTTCCTCTAAGGTACCTCACTCCTACCCACTTCAGAGTCTGGACCTGCTCTTCTCTCACACTTTCCCTGTCTCATGCCCCTCATTTTGCAAGCTTCTGCTGCAGTGCACCTTTTCTAGAAGTTGCTCACACTGACTGTATTTTCCTCATGTTCTGATCACAAAGCACACATTACCATATCATAATGTGTGGCCCAGTGCCTTGCAAAGACTTTATATAATTTGAATGAATGAATATAGATTATCCCGGGGAATGAATATTTGGGACGCCAATAGGAGCCTTCGTGTAACTCTCAAGAGAATGAAGTAAACTTGGCTCCCATCTCCCCAGTTCCATGATCTGTGGGACCCTAATAAACTCCTCATGATCTCTGGAAATCCCTAAAGACATATCTTCATTGACTATCTGCCTTCAGCTCTTGGGCCTGGGAAAGCAGTTCACTTTTTGGCTTTATCAACCTATGTAGAAAATGTGGCCTTTCCCCTGGTCTCTATGAAAAACCCACACACAGCCTCAGTGGCATTTTGTAAGTTTTCATTCATAATTTCTTCTCTTTCCCTCTTCTCCTTTTTCCCTCTGATTTTCACCTCCTCTCCTCCTTTTAATTATGAAAAGCAAATAAGTAAGTCTCAAGACTTTAAAGAGTTGTCTCATGTGACCAGCACCAGACAGTCCTACCATGTTCACAGGTTTTCCCATGCACCCCTGGGGGGCACTGGCACTGCCCAGTTAGAGGATCGCAGGTGCCTCCATTCTGACAATGGCAGACGCTTCCACATTCTTCCCCACTGGTCTCGGGGGAACAAGCTATGAAAGAAATGGAGAAGTTGAGCAATCACAGTATAACATACTCATTGTGATACAAATGGAAAAAAAACACACACAACAATCTTGTCTTCCTATTAGAACGGGTACCAAGTAATCAAAATCTTCGTAATTTGCAGACCTGAGAAGTGTCTCTGGCATGCTCCCAGTTTAAATGGCCTAATAATTCCTCAGGATTACTGATGTAGGTACTTAAAATGGTTGCTGAGGTGCTGCTAAGAAAGTTTGCATACAAAATGTACCTTGTTCCTTAAACTCTAACCATCACATTTTCAAAGCTTAGATATCCTTGCTGTATAACTCCAAAAACTTTAATGAGAAACAAACTGCACCTTCTATTTAAAAAAAAATGGAAAGAAAATGTAGGAAAAGAATGGCATGTATTTTTCACCAGGAATAAATGCAATTAAGACTGTCTTGAGGGTCCCAAGGTAATTTACATTCTTCATCAAAGAATGATGAAGTCAAACAAACAACTGCTTTGTTGTTTTGGGGGAAAGTGTTCAGTAGCCCAATAAAAATAATAAATTGGGAAAAATGTCTGTAGCTTTATTTTAATTTTAACTTGGATAAATACAGCTGTTTAGAAAATGTCAGTAGCCATTTTAATTGACATTTTATCATAATAGGTACATATTACAAAACTACATTTATATCACCTCCTCTATTCACCCACCCACACCATCCCAGATGCTTATATGGAAACTTGGCTTCTTATGCACTTTTTTTTCTTTACTTTCAAGCCCTAGGCTACTATGAAAAGGAAAGAGGAAAACAAAAGTAATAAGAGAGAAAAACTGTCAACAAACATTGGTTTAGGTGTACATTGCTAATTTACATGTAGTAAGTCTTTGAATTCTTACAGTGACAATAGAAGGGATGAGTAGAAAAAATCCACCCGAAAAAGAAAGCTAAGGAAGTTTACATAACTTGCACAGTATCTAGATTACAGCAAATCATCAACTCAACATCTGCAAACCATGCTATTATCTGTCAATACCCCACACAGTAGAATATGATACCACATAGTGCACAGATATGCAAAGTAATTCATTAGCATCAAACAGAGCAATGGGCCTGGAGGAACAAATTTTTAAACAAACATACCCCAAACGATAGCTGGATGATTTGGAAGGAGTCATGAAGCCTCCCCTCCATATATAATCCATTCATTTGTCATATGAAAATAATCTTGCCTGTCAACTGGATAGAGTGTCATAATAACAAATGAAACATTCGATATGAAATCTCTTCAAAAGAAATGGAGTCCTGAAAGGTGCTATTAAAATTAATGTGATAATTTTCAAATTGTTTCATTCTAATGACATGGAAAATTCCTAACACTTCAAAGCAGATATCTTCATCATAAACCAATAAAGGGAATAGGTACAGTGGTTCTCAACCTTCCTAATGCCGCGACCCTTTAATACAGTTCCTCATGTTGTGGTGACCCCCAACCATGAAATTATTTTCGTTGCTACTTCATAACTGTAATTTTGCTACTGTTATGAATCATAATATAAATATCTGATATGCAGGATGTATTTTCATTGTTACAAATTGAACATAATTAAAGCATAGTGATTAATCACAAAAACAGTATGTAATTATATATGTGTTTTCCGATGGTCTTAGACAACCCCTGTGAAAGGATTGTTCGACCCCCAAAGGGGTCGTGACCCACAGGCTGAGAACTGCTGGGCTAGAAGATCTACTCAGTGGGAAAACTAACGTTCCAGATCTCTTTAGAATGCTCTTTTTTTAAAATTTCCCTTGCAGCATTTGAACAGCTGGGACTTTTAAAAATATGGATGATGAATGATTGGTCACATCCATTTATTGCAGTTTATAGGGATTTTAAAAAAAGTTCTCACTCACCCTTTTTTGTTAAAGAATCAGTGAACATTTTTCCCCCCATTTGGAATATTCCGTTTCATCTCTGTAAAGAATTCTTAAGAAATGCAGAAAGAAAAGCAAAAAATATATAAAATCTTCTGCTTTCAGGGACAGACTCCTGTACAGGAAGGGCCATGTGAAAACTTAAAAGATTCTCAAAGATTTTTAAAGTCAAAGAAGGGGGCATCTTATCTTCATTTTATCAGCAAGTTCATTTTTAAATATCTCTATTTTAGTTTTATATTAGACATGCTATATTCTGATGTATTTGAGATAGATTTTTAGTTTTATTTTTCATGCTGCCATGCTAGAAATGAAGGGTTTGGAAGATATATATTTTCCAACAAAACTTACAATATAAAGTAAAATGTTTATTTCCTTTTATTCATGCAAAACATTTATTTATCCTAGTTTTATGCAGTTGCAGATCAATGTCAAGTTGCAGGTCAATATAACTGAATACTTTAATATCAACTTTTCTTTATTTGTTAATTTATGCACTAGGTGCCTCCAGTTTTGAGAAACATGAGTAGGACCTTGACAATGAGCACTGGGTCTAGTCAAAGAAATGGAACAGGAGAATTGGTGTCTCTAATCAAACAGAAAGAGAGAGAGAGAGAGAGAGAGAGAGAGAGAGAGAGAGAGAGAGAGAGAGAGACTTTAAATTCACTGAAATATAAATAGTTGAGGTTAGACTGGGGCCATCAAAAAGGCTTCATACAGTAAGTAGAAATGGACAAAAATGGCAGTCTAGCAAAAGGCACAAAAATGGATAGTGCAAAGAATAAGTAGTGAGTGGTTTAGTTTCTTGGAAATGATAAGCTGAGCAAAGAGTTGTGATTAAGATCAAAAGCAAAAAAATTGAGTAGGGCTTGACTTTAGAGGGTCACTAGTGAGTAGATCGGAAACATATGCTTTATGTATCAGGAAATGGGTCACTCTTATTAAAGTTTTTTTTTTAGCAGAAGAGACACATGAGCAGAGAGATACTTAAGGAAGGTCCTCAAGACCCTAGCTAGTAATCTTGGTTAAGCCACTTCATATGTTGTGACTCAAGATCATATCTATCTCCTAATAGAAACAATATTTGTGCTTTTTCTTCCTATATGCTGGGGATTCAAATGAAAAATCTGCTCATATCATCTAAGCTAATCACAAAGGCTAAGAAAACCTTTCTCTTAAAAATGTTATAAGGTAAATTTAAAAAGAGAAAGAGAAAACAAAGATAGTTTTGTTTTTATTACTTGGTAGTTTTAGTACCTGCAAGCACACCTCCATTTAAAATATAAAGAATACATTTATTATAGGTATCATTTTTAATCTTTTATATTTTTTATGAGAGACATATAAAATACTTAAAAGTGCCATTAGCTGTACTAACATATTTTGAGAGGAAAACGAAAAGAAAACACACAAAAGAAAAGAAGCAGCAGTCAAGCAATCTCATTACTTACACTTTGCAGAACAAATCTTTTTTTTTTTTTTTGTCTTTATTGGGAATAGCTTGCCTGGGCCTAATGACTTATTTAAATGGAGGGATTTTTAATAGGCCTAGAATGCTAGGATTCTTTATTAACTTTTATGCTCCATGGATAAATAAGAAACAGTACATCAAGTTTTCCAGGGAACACAAAATCTTCCCTTTAAATCACTTGTTCACTTTAAAACCTCAGTGCTTCACAGGCATTCTCTATGCACAACAAATAAATTGGTTTCTCACCCATATCAATTGCTTACCTTGTTAAAACATTTTAGGGAGAACACACGTAGAGGAGAACTCATCGCCAGTGGTCTAGCAACAGTAAAGGAGAAGATAGCACCCTCTTACCAATTCTTCAGGGTATCACTCACTTTCATTACAAAGAATGCCACCCCAGCCAGCTGGGCAGGAGCACCCCCTCTTTCCCTCCTGGCACTGGCCTCCATTCATACAGTCCTCACAGCTCAAACTGCAATCATGTCCAAAGGTGTGATCTAAACAGACTGAAATATGATACATTTTCAGTTAGTTCAAACTGTCTACGTCACTGAAAATGGAGATGAAACATTCACACTTCACACACACATACACAAAGACACACACACACACACACACACACACACACGATATAATCCTTCAGTCCTTTAAGATATTTCTTAAAGTCCCAGAAAAAGACAACGGCAAAGAAATATCTTTTAAAGTAGATGTTATTTTATATTTTCCAATGATACTATTGAAATATAGTCCCAAAAGAATATCTAGAATATTTAATAAAGTTTAAAAAGTATGAAGGGAAATTATCATCGATTCCAGAACACCAAAATAATCAATATTCCTGCCATTTGGTGCTTGTCCTCTTCTTGAACTTTAGATAAATAGAATTGTGTCACTCTTCTTTCATTCAACGTAATGTTTTTGAGACTCACCCATACTGCACTTACACTAGTTTTTAGTTGTTGTTTTTTTAAGTCTGTATCGTATTCTAGTGTATAAGTGTATCATGAAGTGTTTTTCCATTCTCTTTTTGAGGGAAATTACCTTAATATGAATAAGGATGGAGAGATTTGATTTCTGTTGTTTTAAGGATTGTTTCAAATTTTGCCCCTGTTTCTAGTGGGGTCTCTCAGGCATCCCAATTGAATGTCTGTTATGTTGAGCAAGCCCTCTCTCCTTTGGCAGATCCTGGGCTGCGGACTCTACCTCCCCATCTCCATGATACTGCTGGTAACTGTGCTCAGCTCCTTGCCCTCTTAGCAGCTGCCTTTTAGATTCCCTGGCTTCTCTGCCTGCACAGCCACACATTAGCAAATGGCTCAAGGAGAAAAGCAGCAGAGTCAGTCCATTTCACCTGTCTGGGTCTCTCCTCTCTAGATCTTGGCCACTCAAGTTCTGGCTGCCTTAGTAGCCCTGAACTCTTTCCATTCAGACTTTCAGTCATTGAAGTATCAGAAGTTTAATGAAGAAACAGTAAAGCATTTCTACTTTTATGCAGATGCATTTACTAATATTATTATTGTGATTCACCAAAGCATGAAAATATTTCTGCCATTTTACTGAATACATCCTGAAACAATCATCAAGCTCTGTTAAACTACAGCAAATAGAGGGAGAACAAAAAGAGCAGCTCTGTTTGACAAAGAAAAGAAAAGGAAGCAGCAGTCTGGCTGCAAACTGTTACATTTGAGAGAGGAAATGCTAATTTATTTTGATCAGAAGTGATTTGATGCTTGAGTTCTGTTGTGTGGATATATGCATCTAAGAAAAACTGTTCACAATTTTAAGATACTTTCTTGGTCCATTTGAACATATTAAACAGTTAGTTCTCACTGTTTTAAAAACTGGGAAGGATCTAGATTTCAAGGCAATTTAAAGTAAGTTTTTAAATATATAAAAGCGACTTCTAATGGAGTTTTAATAGTCAGAACTGAAAAGTCCCAATCCTCCCCATTATGTTAATTTAAAGATACTTTTCAGCTCCATTTCACGGTATTGCACTTGAACAGCCCCCAACACCATGTATCCACACCTCTACACACACCTATATAGCAGCGGTTCTCAACCTGTGGGTTGCGACCCCTTTAGGGGTCGAACGACCCTTTCACAGGGGTCGCCTAAGACCATCAGAAAACACATATATAATTACATATTGTGTTTGTGATTAATCACTATGCTTTAATTATGTTCAATTTGTAACAATGAAATTGGGGGTCACCACAACATGAGGAACTGTATTAAAAGGTCGCGGCATTAGGAAGGTTGAGAACCACTGCTATATAGCAACCCTTTATTGTGAAAGGGAAGGACGACAAAAGATGATGGGTTTGCTAGGAAGCTCAGAAGTGATTTTGACCCCACTTTTCTTGCTAACATCCCATTAAAATGTTAAAATATTTGGTGAATTCTCTAATAATAATAAAAAAGAGGTGACTGCATTGAGATAAATTCTTTTACTCACCAATTTTGGGCAATAGAGCTAGTTCTCCTCGAATATTTTTTCCCACTTTGTCCTCATCTTCTTCATCTTGGTAGGTGGGAGGCAGAGAGGGAGCAACATAATGAAGCAGTCTAGACGGGCTCTTGAACAGAAGGCCTGCGAACCTCACAACTTCTAATTCCTCTTCTCGTTCCTCTAGCTCATCATCATCTAAAGCTAAGACCACACAGGAAAATGGCTGGATTCAACATGCTGGTTAAAAGAAAGAAAAAACCAAGCAAGGGTGGATGAGAGAAATGAGAGAGTTTGAACTAGACAGCCAAGGCAGGGGGCCACTGAAAGGAAGAACTCTTTGAGGCCGTTTCAAAAAGTCTCTTGTAAATGAGGGTGAGAAGCAGCTATCACAAAGCTGACACTGCAGCAGAGAGAACAAAAGGGAAAGATCTCAGTCTTTGAGGAAAGGGGAGGACAGGTTGAGTGAAGGAATATGTGGTCTCCATTGTTCCTGAAGAAGAAAATGAGGGTGGAAGTAGTTTAGAAGAGACACATGAGATTCTTCAGTGACTTACAGATGCAAGTTTTTCCATCACTTCCAATTCTGTAGCCTTCCTCACAAGTACAGTGGTATGTTCCCACAGAGTTAATACATACTTGATCACAGACTATGCTGGTATCCAGACACTCGTCCACATCTAGGAACATTTAAACAATGTCTGCTTTTAGACACTGAGAGATAAAATAGACATTGTGAAGTCATGGGCATATTTGTGTTCCTGTTGTCACCTTTATTAATTCATGACAATGTACTGTCCTATAGAAAGCTTAGCCTTGGACACTTTCTCAAGTATATCCTGCCAATTTTTTTCTTTCACTCAAGTTTATTGTAGTTCATCTACACAGACAAGGTGTTTCTAAGACCTTGTTCATGAGGTTTTGATGAGGAATTTAAAACAAAATAAATTCAATGGACTCAGGCTGTACACCATTTTGTATAATTTTCATTCATTCTTGAATTATTCCATCTCTATAATGAAGCATTTATTCCATGCATAATTCTGTACAAGGTTTATGGAGAATTTTAGAGATGGGAGAACTCTAAGCTTTAATTTCATGTGACTGTCCATATCTGAGCCTAGACATTGGTCAATGTGTTCACAATAGTAAAAGTTTACTGTTGAAGCTGGGTTTCTAAGCTTTGCCTCAAATTATGATACCTTTTTAATTTGGATGCATGTACCCAAGTATGTATATTCACACCATACAATTATCTTTTGGCTGACTTTGCTTAAGAGCAGATGGTCGATGAAATTCAAATTTCTTGGCTCCTGTTAATTGGATTAAATATGGTAAATGGTAATATATTGTACTGTGTTTAGAATATATAGATACCATAACTGTGTTTTCTTTGCTGTTACCTACATTGCAAGGCTGAGGAGCTTGGTGTCTATATGAAAAAAAAACAAAAACATACCTATCATCCTCAACATAATTCAGGAATTTGCTTCTTTAAGCATGATATTCTTATATATGTTGACTTATTAAAAAAGATCATCTTACATTTCCTTTGATTTGAAGAAAAATGTGGTTCGAAATAATGGTAATGATTATAAAGTGAAAATTTAAAGATTCCATGTTTTAAAAATAAACTTAAAAAAAGTAAATGATAGCAATGGCTCAAATGAGCTGTTCTTAATGTAATGGTGTAAAAAAGTGAATTAACTCTACTCATTAAATTTATACTCTCTTGTGAAAACAAATACATAATCTAGAAACCATCTGAAAGGTAAGTGAACCAATTTTAACAAGTAACTTAGAAAATTATAAAATTGCATCTTAAAACTTGCATTAGTAAATAGTAGAACCAGGTAGACATCCAAGTCTCTTCAGGGCGAGGCCTTCCCTTTCCCATCCTAACCCCCTTCCTCACATGTTCCTCCTTCACTGATTGCCTCATCACACCCGTGATTTCATATTATTTCTCAGGAACTTACCATCACACCCACAACCATCAGAACTGATCTGAAAGCCTTCCTTACAACTGCATTCATAGCCTCCCAAGTAGTTGATGCAGAGCTGGGCACAGCAGGCTTCTCCACTCTCACACTCATCAAGGTCTGAAGGGGAAAAGGACATTTCTGTTGTTTCAGAGACAGGAACTTCACTGAGCTATAGAATTAAATTAAAGCCTCACTTATAAATGAAAATTGTTTTACTACTCAATTTCTATTTCTCAGGCCACATTGTAGAGACATCAAAGCAACTATAACACAGAAAGAATGAGGCTCACATTCGCCTTTATGTTTCTTGCATGTTTTTCCTATTGTCTGTCATTTATTTTTTAAAGTATGTAAATAATCTCCAAATGCATTTATAAGCACAGGAAAAGAGATTTCTGCTATTTTTCCAGTTTAAACAGCAAGTTGACTAAATAAACAGAGAACTTGAAGAAGAACAACAACAACATCGAAACAGCTTGAGAGGAAGAGTCAAAAATTCCACTTAGCGAACATTTGAGAGCAAAGAGGAGGCAGTCCTACACTTGTTCTAGACCTTCAGATGACAGAGCTTTGCAAGCAACTGGAATTCACAAAACTGGGAAGAGAAGTGGCAGCTGCAATTTGGAGAGAGGGCAGACAATCTTTTTAAATATTGTGTTTTGAATTATAGAATATTTCAGAGGCTTTGCTTGAACTTTGTGATGATGCTTTGGCTAGGATGAGTGGGGTCATGGTTTTTCATTTTATTGTTGGTGACATTACCCTGGCATGTCCTATCCGATAAACAGCTTTCTAAGTGATGCTCTTTAAGTGTCCTTCAGCATTGTTATCCCAGAATTCTACAATCCTGAATATTTCGTCCACATACATAACTGCTCTGAGGAAAATAAAAATGCACCAGAATTAAGTCAAATTGAAACCCTTTAGCCAAAGAATAATCTATTTGGCTTGAGTTTTGAGGTGATCATTCCTAACATAACTGTCCAAGGAGTAGCAACAGACTGTTCACCCACTATTTCCCTCAGGCTAGACGCCTGGGAATTGGGTGGTCAGGGTTTTTGGCTATAGGCTCTTGGTTCAATTCCACCGTGTGTTTGTTGAGCTGGTATGTTGGCTGGCCTGTCAGTGTTGAGTTTACAAAGTCCCATTGCTCCCTAACTACATGAGCAGCCACAGATATAAAAGGTCAATATCTCAATTAACATTGGAAACGGTACCAGTGTAAGGAAATGTAGACAAGAGAAAGGGAGGAAAGAAAATGCAGTCAATTATCTAAGGTGAGGGGTCACCATACAACTTCTAAAGGAAGGTCATTTGGACACAAAACATTCTTTCTCCTGCAAAATGTCAGAAGCAGTGCTACTCACAAAATTCTCGGTGATATTTTTTCCTCTCTTTTATTAAACCATCCTTTGTCCTTTGGGTTAAATAGCATGAATAGAGAGGGCAAAATTGCTTTTAATAATTCACTTTTATTTAATTTAAAACATTATCCTTAATGGGTTTTTTAAAAATATATATTTTAAAGTCTTCTCAAATACTAATAGAGCCTCCAAACACGTATGTCTCAGGATTCCTTGTTCTCAGATACTAGGAGCACAACTGTATCACAATTGGAAAATGACCTTCACGGTCTATCATTTTATGATCTATTTAGATTCTTCTTCTATCATCATTCCTCTGGGGTGATTTCTAGCTTGTCTCCTGTAAACCATCTAGTCTGAAACTCACCTGAAACCCCGCCCTTCTTACATCACAAGCCTTTCTTAAAATGCTGTGTCCCTTCAACGCTTACATCACCTGTTTCCTAATTTCCTTGACTAATTTTCAGATCTTATTTGGTAAGATCTTTGCTTGCTAATGTTTCCCTTTTTATTTTCCTCCTCATTGATAATCATGTTTTTCTTACATTGGGTAGTATTGCCAATTGCAGAGAAATTCACCTATTCATAAAAACTTAGCGCTCATCAAAAATAGAGCTTCAATTAAAGCCAGGCAAAACAATTAAAAATTTCAGTTTTGACTTCAGAAAAGCATGAAAATTAAACCTTAGAAAAAAATGATCTTTTGTATGTGCCCCCCCCCATACATAGCGTTGAACAAACTCAGAAGATTAGAAAAAATTGTGTTTCTAATATCTAATGATTGTTAAATGTAGAGAGCTTACTGCTGATCAGACACTTGAATTTTCTAGAGCTGTCTTTCAAATTGTGTTAACACATCTCTAGGTTTTAGCCCTAATACATTTTTGCAGTTGGGAAAGACAGGTTGACAATTTGCAGACTGGACAACTTATTTTCCCATTTATTTGTACATTCTCAAATATAAAAAATGTTGATCCTAAAATAAGCTAAAAAGAAAATTCTTTAATTTCTTCCAGATATGAATATTTTTACAAATCATCCATGACCTTAATCTGTTCTCAGGTAAATAAGCAAAGTATGTATGTGTACCCTCCAAACAATTCATTGCCTTACTATAGTGAATATTTGGTCTTTAGGAATGAGTGTTATTTATTGTTGGGAAATGAAATAAACTTAAGCCATAAACAATATAATGTCATGCTGAAATCTCATAAATATGCAATTTTCTATATTTTGACCATGGCAGATGTTATTTTTTTCTAGTTATAAATACGAATTTTACTGAATTGTGCTTTTCAAAGAATAAGGAATGACATGAAATTGTAAGTCACAAACAAAAGGTTTAGTGAAAAGACAAGTAGAGAGCAAGGAAGGGAAGGAGGAAGAAAAAAAGGAACCCCTTATTTTTTCCAGAGATACAGGTATTAGAAAGGTAGAAAAATATAAGCAAGTTTTTCATTAAATAATAAGAAGAAATGAAAGCAATGGGTTTCATTAAAGCAGCAACTGTAGACTCAAAAAAATGCAGGAGGCAATGTTGGATCAAGATATACAAGTAATGACATTGTTTTGGTTAAAGGATTTATGAAACCAGAAAACTTCAAAATCCCTTGAAGCTGATACTGTTACATAAGAAATTCCAAATACTTACACCTTTGAAATTCACCTCTTTTATGATACTCTAGTTTGTCTCTAACCATACTGAATAGATAAAATGGTCAAACATTTTTTTAGTAGTCATAATTTTTAAGAAAGGTCATATAAAGCAACACACAAAAAAACAAGCAAATATGATACTTAATTCCAGAATAATGGCAAATTGCTTTAGAGGGGCTTGTAGGTGCTCTCAGACACAGAGCATATAATGATATAGTTTGATGCTCACTCTCCCTGTTTTTAGTAGATATTCCCTTTTCTCAGAAGTTCTAAATTCCACATTCATTATGAAGCAAGGTTGAAGTAAAATTTATTTTTCTCATTGTCTCTAATGATATGAGTTCTAATAATATGTTCAGAAAAGTTATTTATTAAAAATGCATTTGAGTTGGGATTTCCAAAGAATTTTAAAGTTTTCTTTTGGAATGTAGGTGCCTGTCATATCAAAGTTGAACATGCATCCAAGCCATCACCAAGTTGAAAAGGAAATGCAGCCCTAACCGGTTTGGCTCAATGGATAGAGCATCGGCCTGTGAATTCAAGGGTCCCAGGTTCGATTCCGGTCAAGGGCATGTACCTTGGTTGTGGACACATACCCAGTAGGGAGTGTGCAGGAGGCAGCTGATTGATGTTTCTCTCTCATCAATGTTTCTAGAAACATCATCAGTGTTTCTAACTCTCTATCCCTCTCCCTTTCTCTCTGTAAAAAAATCAATAAAAATATACATGTTTTTTTTTTTAAAAAAAGAAAAGGAAATGCAGTCCAGCCGGCATCACTCAGTGGTTGAGCATCCACCTATGGACCAGGAGATCACAGTTTGATTCTAATTCCTGACCAGGACACATGTCCGGGTTGTGGGCTCAATCCCTAGTGTGGGACTTGCAGGAGGCAGCCAATTAAAGATCCTCTCTCATCATTGATGTTTCTATTTCTCTTTTCCCCCTCTCTCTTACTCTCTGAAATCAATAAAAATATATTTTAAAGAAAGAAAAGAAATGCATATGATTGAGCTTCTGCATGGGGTAGAGAGAAGTAGGGTACGTGGTAGCATTTGTTGAGTTACAAATTGCATTCAGTCGTTAGACAGGCCTTGGGATATTTTTCTGAAATAAAACTAAGTCCATATATTTTGTTAAATGTTTTAAAGCTCCTTTCACTTTAAAGTAAATATCCAAATATCATGATGTCTTCTGCCAATTAATATTTCTTTTACATTTATCTAGTAGCCAGAGACTGTTTGATTTATTTCTCCATGCAGTTTGAGAGATGTAGCTCAGATTACGGCAATAAGTATTAGAGAGGAAAGGGCTAAATGAATCCTGGACAGCTCTAAAGGAAGATGGCATTTACCATACATTACCTATGCATGTTTTCTCATCTGAATCAAGCCGGTGTCCATGGTTACAGGAACAACGGGGCCCACCAAGTGCATGTTCACAGTGATGTGAACAACCACCATTGTTCTTTTCACAGCTATTGACAATTTCCAATTCAATCCCTTTCCAAACAAGCAGAGGAGGGTTATTAGCATAACAGCAGAGAAACCTGAATATATGTCAACAAGAGGAATACTCTGTTTGGAGGACAACACACTTTATTGGAAATTTATCAATCCTCTACACATATAAAAGTAAAAGTCTGAGGGGCTATTAAGGATTGCAAATGTCTATACAATATCAAAACACTAATAAACCTATAAGTAATATTAAGTTGACAAAATGGTGTAGAAAGGGAAATAGTCCACCACTGGTTATTAAACACTTATCTTAAATGACATTAACCTTTGGAGATTCTCAGTTTTTTCAGAACATAAAAAAAAAAAAATGTGTATTGAATCAGTAATCAGAAAGCACAGAGGTTGTCTGCCAGCTGACATTTCTTCTGTTCTCAAGCTAATGGTATATTATTATCTGTCCTTTCTAGAGGCTAGGAGTACTTGAAAATACTGTTAAAAATAGCCTTGAAACAGAAGTATGAACACAAAAACCAATGAATTAGCTGATCATATTTAAATAATATCATTTTAATGTGCTAATTAGCATTGAGGTATATGAAAGTCACTTATTATACAAACATACTATTACTCTGAAAACCAATTTGCTGATCCCAGTACATGTTAATTTGGGGCATTTTGGGTGACATCAAATTCACCATATGGATGCCAATTATATTGAGCACAAAGGCATTATAATCAATCATTTTTTAAGTGAGGAAATGAGAAATTTAAAAATGCTTTGAATCATTGTTAAAAGTATGGAATGTAGGTACTCTGCTATTTTTATCATTGTCCTCTATTGTTCTTCATTTGTGTTGCTTGGACAGAAACTCTTCGTAATGAGAATGTCTACGTTGATTTATTTCCTTCCATTATTAATACCTTAATCTTTTAAAAGAAGATGAGAAAGAACGGCAAGGGTACTTGGGATTGTGGTACTCCTTGAAAGTCTATATTGCCATTGAAACTGCCTAGGTATGTGCTATAGTTCCTGTACAGTTACAGTATAGAAATGATCCTCCCTCATCCTCGGCCTCCAGGCTATAGAAGGCAGCTTCCCTATGTGTCCCAGAGCACCTCCCTTCATGCCATCATTATCCTCTATTACCAAACTGATAACAGATGTTCAAAAATAGGTTTTGAATAATTGAATAAACAAAAAAGAATTATGCTAATCAATTTATTGCTGAAAATAAGAAGCCCTTTGGGTTTAGAAATAGCTATTTTAGGTCTGAGAAAAATTAGAAAGCTAAAGGAAAGATTGAAATAATAAAAGGAACTGATTTTTCATGATATGTTAACATATACTCTTTAGGGAGACATCTTTCAAATTTTGGCTCCTATTCTTGTTATTTTTCTGTGATCAATGCAGCTCTAAGACTTCTGGTAATACTTTACTTTAATTATAAATAATATTATTATAACACCATTAAAATATAAATATATACTAGAGGCCCGGTGCATGAAAATTCATGCACTGGAGGTGGAGGGGTCCCTCACACAGTGTGGGAGCCCTCAGGGGCAGGAGGTGACCAAGTGATCAGGGGAAGGCGATGCCCCCATCACACCTCTGCTGCTGTCACTGACGGCAGTGGAAGCCTCGGCTGGCCCTGGTTACCTGAGCTTTGGGCAGCCCTAGGTGGCTGGGCAGTCAATATCCAAGGCTTGCCTGCACCTCTGGCCAGCCCTGCCAGCCAGCTGCGTGCTTGCCATTCCCCCAGCGGGGCTGGAAGGACTGGGGGACTCCAGTGGGGCTGAGGGGACTGGGCACCACCATCTTGTGCCTATGGGCACTGCCATCTTTGTGACTGTGTGATGGTTAATTTGCATATTGCCTCTTTATTATATAGGATGAGACTAAAACAAGGGTATACTCAGATCTAAAACTTCCCAATAGAAGTAAGCTAAGATTTTGTGTCCTTGATACAGATGATGATGTTTAACCATAGTACTTAAAATTTTTCACTTTAAAATACTTTTTAAAATGACTCTTGTAGTTTTTCATAGGTAAAAAGTAATTATTATTTACTCTGTCTTTATATCTCTTTAAATGCATTAAATTTAAGTTAAACTACATATCGCTTGGAAAGTTGGGGACGTCTTATTTAACCAATTTCTAATCATAAAATAGTGACAGTTCATGCACAGTGCACCATGGGGATCTGATGTTGTGAGAGCCTCTGAGAAGAGATTATATAAATATACAATATTATTTTCCTACTAAAGTGTTAAAACAATATTTTCCTAAAATATACTTGCTATATAAAGAGCACATAATTCATTGTTAAACATTACCATGCTCTCAAAACATTTACTCCACCTACAGATTTTGAAAGAACTCAAAATACTAGTTTTTATCAAGAAAGTTCTGTATGTCAGTTAGTAAATATTGAAGTTTGGTGAGAGCTGCACAAAGAATTTGGCTAGCCAAATATTCACTTAAGAAAAACAAATCTAAAACCACACTTCAACCATATGTATTCAACTCTAGGGTAAACTGCTTTCCCAAGTAAATTCTATAAGAAGCCTTTACCTCATAACTCATTAATACTGGCCCCCTCTTTCATGATAACTGAGAATGCACCAGTCATATTACAAGAGATTTTATTTCAGATATTTGTAAAATGTTCCTGGCCACATTAAAAAGTCAAAATATTAATAATAAGAAAAAACCCATCCATGTTTCTCTGCCTCAGGGCATTAAGCAAAAGGCTCACTTCAGAAGAAGTTGTATCCTAATTAGTAGTAAATTTTATTTAGTTTGTTCTTTAGAAGACATATCACCATAGCAAAACTGCACTGTCTTTAAGCAGTAGAAATATAGCAACAGACCTTAAGACTTCACTGATGACCCAGGAATTAAAGAAACATAGAATTTTATGCAGTGGAGGAAAATGAAGAATTTAGTGACCCTACGTATGTCTGTTCATGAGAGAGCTTAGATAAAAAAAACATGAAATTATTTATTCTATTTATCACTATTCTTACTCTTCTCCATTAATTAAAATTGATAGAGAGATATATGTATAAAAATATATGATGAAGTTGAAAGGATAGTATATTTGGAGCCCAAAGACCCCAGTTAAAGTCCCAGTTCTCACTTACTAATTTTGTATCATTAGCTTTTGGCTTCAACATTAAATAGATAGTTCACTAAGTTGTGGAGAAATGGGAAGAGCATCTTTGGAACTGAGACTAGATATCAGCGGTTTGTTTGGAGTCAAGATTGCAATGCTTATTAGTTAAGTAAATAGAGATATTGAGTACATAGCTTGGCATATTCACAGGTAATTAAAGAAAAAAGTGGAAATATAAATTTAACATTGAGAGAGTGGCCAAAGATGGAGAGAAAAACCTGAATAGTGTGAACACACGGAAGAGAAAAAAGTATTTCAAGAAGAATGGGAGTTAGTCAACTGTGTTGAAAGCTGCTGAGAGGTCAGATAGTATAAAAGCAGAGAAGGTAACAGTCAGTCTGGTAACACAGAGGTCCTGGTTGACCATATTGAGGTAGAGGTGATAATCTGATTAATCTGAGATGATGAGACAATATAAGATGAAGAGGAGACATTAACAATGTTATAAAAAATTTGCTGTGAAGGTGATCAGATGAAGGCTCTGGTGGCACGTAGGCCTGTCAGGGTATACTTCCAGGACAGGAGCTATTGGAGTATGTTAATAAGCTGCTGAGAATGACCCAGTAGATAACTGCACCAGCAGGGATCTTCAGATAATGAAAAGGAATGGAATCCAACGTACAATGAAGAGGACAGTCTTTGATAGCAGTAGGTCCACTTCCTTCATAGCAATGGAGTCAAGGCTTCTCCATATAATTCTATGAGCAATTTCAAATCAATTGGTAGCTTGAATCATGGTTGGGGACCATTTTATTGATAACATCAGAGATAAGATAAGAATAAAGGCAAAAGAGTGATACAAAGATTTTGAAGAGAAAGGAAATATTCAACATTGGTTTTGATGGTGATGAAAGTGGACATATTCCATAGTATAGTTTTGTCCAGCCATGTTGCTGACTCATTTGAGACTTATGAATTTCAAATAAAGCCAATTAACATGGTTGTGTTTTAAACCTAGCAAAACTCTTCTGCTAAGGCATAGGTGTGAAGCGGAGGAGGAAGGGAAGAAGTCACTGAGAAAAAAGGTAGAGGATGAAGATAAGGAAGAATAAGAAATTGTTGATATACCATGATCACATGAGAGGCAGAGATAAGGAAAGCATACAAAGAAATAAGGAAGCATATTATTCTGTCATTTGAAGAAGAAGAGGGGAAGAAGAGGGTGGGTGAGGATGGGAAATACTGAGGCAGAGAACATGAAATATGAAGGAATCTGTATCAGATGGTTTTAAAGTTAGTTAAGTAGAAAGTGTGTTTCTCTATAGATTAATCAGCAGACCAGTGAGGAAGACACGAGAGAAGGAAATAGCTGCAAGAGCTATTAACAGCAGCTAATAATTCAGCTCATTAACATTTTAATATATTGTAGTAAGGGATACATTACATTACATAACTGAGCCTAGGTGAGAAAGAAGCAAAGGTTAGATGACATAGATCATAGGAGCAGAGGACGAGTCAGTGAAAGAGAATGCAAAAGTGGAAGGAAATGCTTAAAGAGGCATGAGAGAAAGGAATAAAAAATGGGGAGAACAGAAAAGGGTTGACAGGCAAGGTACTCTTTACAGCATCCAGTGTGTCTGATATTTTGCTACAAGCTAGAGCTGCTCCTTGTACTGCTGGTTCCTTCCCTCCTACTAGTTCCTTTTCCTTGAGCTTTACCTTGGAGTTACTAGAGTTTGATAAATACTGCATTGCAGAAGGGGTGAAGAAAGTCAGACTCTTCACAGGGAGAGCCATGGGTCTAAGGGAGCTCCATGTCAGAGGATTTGAGACTTAGCCCTTGTTGGCTACACTGGGTGTCACTATGCTGACCATTTTCTTTTATTTTTTTTAAATTTATATTTATTGTTGAAACTATTATAGATGCCCCCTTTCTCCCCCATTGACCCCTTCTAGCCCACACCTGTCCCTGCCTCAGGCCTTCACCACACTATTGACTGTGTCCAAGGGTTATGCATATCCTATATAATAAAAGAGTAATACACAAATTGACCCTAATGGCAGAACGACCTGGGAATGACCAGCTGCTATGATGCACACTGACCACCAGAGGGCAGACACTCAAAGCAGCAGCTGTTTCTTGGTGGTCAGTGTGCTCCCACAGGGTGAGCTCTGCTCAGCCACAAGCTGGGCTGAAGGCTGCGAGTGCAGCAGCAGTGGCAGGAGCCTATTCCACCTCCTCAGCAGTGCTAAAGATGTCTGTCTGATGGCTTCGGCCCGCTCCCCATGGGGAATGGGCCGAAGCCATCAGTGAGACATCCTCCAAGGGCTCCTGGGCTGCCAGAGGGATGTCTGACTGCCAGCTTAGAGCGGGCCTAAGCTGGCAGGTGGGCATCCCCCGAGGGGTCTGAGACTGGGAGAGGGTGCAGGCTGGGCTGAGGGACCCCTCCGAGTGCATGAATTTGCATGCACCAGGCCTCTAGTATGTATATAGTTCTTTGATTGGTTGCTTCCCACCCACCCCATGCCATCCTTCTGCCATTCAACAGTCTGTTCCATATTTCTATTTCCATATGTCTCTGGATCTATTTTGTTCATCCATTTATTTTGTTTTTTAGATTCTACATATTTTCTATTGACTCTGGGCCCATTTCTTTAAAATAAATAAAGGGTTTGAACTTCTAAGCTCTCATCCCTACCGCATCCCAGTGGCAAACATTCTCAGGAGCTTTGCATTGGCAAGATATTCAGTGTTGTTCTTTCATTACTCTTGTTTAATACTTGTCAAATGTCACACATTCCCAGGGCTGTGATTGCTGCCACTTACTGTAACACCGTTTTCCATCAGCTCCCAGCTCAGAGCCAGGGTGACAGGCACAAGTGAAAGATCCCACTGAGTTCACACAGCGATGGCCGCAGTGAGCAAGCCCTTCTGCACACTCATTTATGTCTGCAGAGAGAGAAACACACAGTGGCTGTCTTTGGAGGTTGAATTCTGATTTATGTGTAAACTATAAACATTAACTAAAGCATTCCTTCCCCTTCGACCCCCATGTCCAGTGTAACAGAAAAATATCCCAATGAATCCATATTTACAAATAAACTAACTGCTAATGACAGTAATTCTAGTGTAGGCTTATGCTCTCAAACACTTATTTCTATTATAACCTACTAGTATTTATTAATTGGTAGAAAGAGAAAAGAACACAAATAAAAAATATAGACATTCTCTATGTCCTAATAATATAGGTAGAAGTCATTACAGTTTGTCTTTGGAATATATATCATATTCATAACAAAATATTATATTTCCCTGATTTAAGGTAGTCAGTACGGGTGGCCATAGATAAGGCAGGTTTGAGGCCTTCATATGTAGCAATCTACAATATATGTTGTTCTTATGACTGTCCCTAGGCTGCGCTATTGAAACAGTGGTGCCCTCTCTCCTGACACTGAGAGCCAAGTCTATTCAGTGTCACTTCATTTTGTGGCCCATGTAGTCCTTGCTCCTTCCCTTTAGATGAATAGATCTCACAATCGTTTTTCCCTACCAGAAGGTCCGCCTTGTCATCTATACCAGGGCACTTAAGAGAAATGCCCATTACGTAAAACCCTAAGTAGGTAGTAATTAGGGGGATAGACTTTCTAAGAAGAATTGTTTTACATAAAAACTTTGAAAGAGATTTTATGTATATAGATATAGGTGTATGCACATATCTATATAGGTATATATCTATCGATTTCCCATAAACATTTAACAGATCCTATTTTGTACCAGGTGCTGAGAGAGGCAGGTCCTATGTAAACAGAGGACAAAACAGAAACATTTTCTGTCAGAAAAAGGTGTTAACACAGTCCATAGAAAATTCTATCTTAGTTTTGGCTTAAAGAAAAAAAAAAAAAAACACACCTAACACCACTCTTTAATACTTTTTCATTTTCTCAAAATATCAGTCCCATAAGTCAGGAAACGTTTTGATATTTTTTATAATTAATCCAAATATACCATTTCTCATGTCATGAAAATGTTATGATAAAATGAAGGATTCTGCAATTTCTCAGAAGTTATTAAAACAAAACACTGTCCCACAGGAATAACGTCATTTATCAGTTCTGGTCATCAAATAATTTATCACTTCATCTGTGAATTGAAGTATGTTTTGTTATATCTAGGAAACAGAAATATGTAACCTTGAATTTGTAGCTTTCCTTCCTCCCTCCATTCCTTCCTTCCTTCCTTCCTTCCTTCCTTCCTTCCTTCCTTCCTTCCTTCCTTCCTTCCTTCCTTCCTTCCCTTCCTTTTTTGTTTCAATTGCCCCTAACTCTAAGAACACTTTTGGACATACTTGGTTTTCAAAGGTTATCCATACCTTCTGTGGCCTAAAATAAAATGAAAAACTTCCCTATGTGGTTATGGAAGGTTTTGAAATATTAATTCTGGAACTCACTTCAGAATGAGAAACAGAAACCCAAATGCATTAATTCTGAAGCTACCCCAGACCTTTTCTTTGTAATTAAAAATGTCTCTGAGTTTTTATAGTATCATAAAACGCTTTTCAGAATGATCAAATAAGAGCACAAATGTTCCTTTTTAAGCATAAATGAAAACACCTTTCTCCTAGCTGCTCTAACTATTCAAACTACATTACCACAAAATTTCAAACAATTACATAATTAAGCTATCAGATTCATTTTCCTACCTCTGCAGGCCTTTTTGTCTTCAGACAGCTGGTACCCTGGGTGACAGGCACACCTGGCCACTCCATTCTCCCTCTGACAGATGTGGGCACATCCATTCACACCTGTGCAGGGGTCCATCTCTAAAAGCAATTAAGCAGTGATAGTTTGCAATTAATTAACTTGAGAAAGTTATATAGAGTGGAAGGCTGGAGAAAGGTAAAGAGGGAACTGGGGCCACTGGGTTTCTCACATAAAGATGGTCAGGACACTTGAAAATTCTTTCCCACTTCAGATGCAACTAATTCATCAAAATGTTTCCTACTGTGTGATCTGAACTCCAAAGTCTGAACAAATCAAAACATGGATCAAGGCCAAAGAAGAAGTAGCTTAATTTCACTCTTCCCAAAAGTATACCTGGTGCCCAAAGTTAAATGGAGTCAGCAGAAAATCCTCCATACACCTTTGCTCTCCCCCCACCTTCTCTCTCCATCTTTTCTACAACTTTGAGCAGCAGAATCATTCATACACAAACCTTTTTATCACCTCTAGACCTTCTCTGCCTATCTGTGTGAGACAAGGCCAACTGGAGAGACAGGGTCAATTCTTAGCTACAGCTGCCATGGAAATGAAAGAAAGAAGTTCAGATCCCTCTGGAATTATCCAGCTGGCCTCCTTCTCTCCCTCACTTGCTCCCGTCTTAGGATTAGTTATAGTCTCTGAATATCCAAACTGATGTGAAGCCACACATCCTATCAGGAACATCTCCTTACAGAGCTTACCGAATTTATGGTTGAAGTGATTCTGGTCTGACTTTGGGAATCCAGCCTTGTCTACATTAAAGGCTGCTAGGGTGGGACTGCAGTCCCCCATATGTAAAAAACATAATGCACAATACAAAGAGCAAAACAATGTATAAAGCTACCTTATCTCCACATTCTCCCCTTTTAATCCAATCACTATTATAGATAAATGCTTTCATGCATTTCTTGTAAATCCTTACAGACTATGAAAATATAAGTAATACAAATATCTATCTATTGCCGGGGTCCAACCCCAGCAGGTCCAGGGGTCCCCAAAGGTGTGGACGGAGTCAGCGAAGAAGGAATGACACGGAGACAGTGTTCAGTTGATCAGCAGCCTAGCCAGGATCTCTAGCCAAGTTCTGGTCAGGATCTCCAGCCAGGTCTGTGTCCATGTTCTCTTGCTAGGTTCTCCAGCCAGGTTCTCCAGGTTCTCCAGCCAGGTTCTGTAGCCATGTTCCCTCACTAGGTTCTCCAGCCAAGTTCTGTCCAGGTTCTCCAGCCAGGTTCAGTCACCAGGTTCTAGTCAGGTTCTCTTGCCATGTTCTATCCAGGTTCTGTAGCCAGGTTCTGTCTCTAGGTTCTTCAGCCAGGTCCAGGTTCTCTCGCTAGGTTCTGTCTCTAGGTTCTGTTGCCAGTTTCTGTCCAGGATCTTTTGCCATGTTCTGTCTCTAGGTTCTGTTTCTAGGTTCTATGGCCATTTTCTGTCCAGGATCTTTTGCCATGTTCTCTCCAGCGAAGTTCTTCTGTCTCTAGGTTCTGTGTAGGTTCTGTGTAGGTTCTGTGTCTAGGTTCTGTGTCCTGTTGTCTTGTTACATCTGTATTTATACCAGTTGATTCCAATCCTATCAATCTCTATTCCAAAGGTTAGGGCGTTTCTTATCTCCATTCCAGGGAGTAAAGATTATGTAGCTTAAGCATGATTGTTCGTAGTTAGAGTGATTAATTACCCGCCTGGCACTTAGTTAAGTGGTTTTATTCCCTCCCTAACTTCAGGGGAAAATCCCTACCTGGGGAAACAACCTTTCTCAGAGAGGTGACCTTGGTTAAAACACATAGTGCCAAGAAGGTGAGCAAACATATTAAGAACAGCATGCCATATATGCCAGGTCCCTTGAAACAGCAAGGATGGACCGGCTCCCAGCAATCTATCATCTATCTGTCTATCTATCTATCTATCTATCTATCTATCTATCTATCTATCCATCCATCCATCTACCTATCATCTCAGATGCAATAGACATTGTTTTGCTCCTTGCTTTTATTTGGGGAGAGGTTGAGTTGAAAACGCAGACCAATTAGGAAGAGTATTTCCATTTATTTTAGGTCTTTAATTAATTTCAACAATGTTTTACAGTTTTCAGTATATAATTTTTGCATTGCTTTATTAAATTTGTTCTTACTCGTTTTATTATTTTTGATGCTATTATAAATAGACATTTTTTTTAAATTTTACTTTCAGATTGTTCTTTGCTAGTGCATAGAAATCCACTTGATTTTTATATGTCGACCTTATTTCCTGCAACTTTGATGAATTTTTTTATTAGTTCTAATATTTTTGTCAGTGGATTCCTTAATATTTTCTACATACAAGATGATTTCATCACCAAATAGAGATATTTTAACTCCCCCTTTCTAATCGAGGTGATTTTTATTTTATTTTCTTGTCCTTTTTGCTCTGGCTATAACTTCCAGTAAAATGTTGAAAGAAGTGGTATGAACAGATTCTTGTCTTCTCCTGATCTTGGGTAGAAAATTTCCCTAATTAAGCATAATGTTCACTGTGTGTTTTTATAGGTTTCATCTATCAGATTAAAGAAGTTCTCTTCTATTTCCAGTTCATTGAGTTATATTTACCACAAAAGGATATTTGATTTTTTAGTGTGTTCCCCCTCCCCTGCATCTATTGAGATGATAATATGTGTTTGTCCTTTATTCTATCAATATGGGATATGACCCCAACTGATTATTAGATATTAAACTGACCTTGTTTTCCTGAGAAACATCTGGTTTGATCATAGTGTATATTCCATTTTATATATTGTTGGATGTGGTTTCCTTGTATTTTGTTGAGGATATTTATATTTATACTAGTGGCCTTGTGCACGAAATTAGTGCACTGGGTTCCTCAGCCCAGCCTGCACCCGCCACTGCCACTGTGCTCACCAGCTTTGAGACTGGCTTCTGGCTGAGCAGTGCTCCCCCTGTGGGAGCACACTGACCGCCAGGGGGCAGCTCCTGCATTGAGCATCTGCCCCCTGGTGGTCAGTGCACATCATAGCCACAGGTCATTTTGCTGTTTGGTCAATTTGCATATTAGTCTTTTATTATATAGGATTTATATTCATATTCATATTCATATTGGTCTGCAGTGTTCTTTCTTGTTAAATCCCTGTCTGGTTTTTGTATCAGGGCAATAATACTGGCCCTATAGAATGAGTTGGGAAGTTTCCTCTCCTTTTCTACATTTTGAAATAATTTGTGAAGAACTTACATTTATTGTTCTTTAAATGCTTGGAATATTTCACCATTGAAACCATCTGGGCCTGAGTTTTTCTTAATGGGAAGTTTTAAAAATTACTAATTCTATCTCTCTACTTATTATACGTCTAACCAGATCTTCTATTTTTTAGAAGTCTGATTCAGTAGTTCTTGTCATTCTAAGAACTTGTTCATTTCATCTAAGTCATCCAATTTGTTGTAATACAGTTCAGTGTTACCTTATTCTCTTTTTTATTTCCTAAGGGTCAGTAGTGATGTTCCCTCTTTCATTCATGTTTTAAATAATTTGAGTCATCTCTCTTTTTTTCCTTTGTCACTCTAGCTAAAGCTTTTTCAGTTTTATTTATCTTTTCAAAGAACCAATTTTGGGTTATATTTACTTTCTCTCTTATTTTTCTATTCTCTATTCCATGAATTTCTATACTAATAATTATACTTGCTTTCCTTTTATTCTTACCTTTCCCTATCTTTTCCCTACTTGTGTTGCTTCTGCCTAGTATCAGTTCTCTATGAAACTCTTAAATTTAAGTCTACAGATTCAATCTGCCCCCACATTTGACCTCCCCTCCATCCTTGCTGGACCTTTTTGGTTTTGTTTGCTTCCTTCATTGCATCTGTCTGTTTTGTCACAGGGCGAGAAGATGTTGACCTATACAGCCATATTTATATTAGAAACTTGATATTTTTAATCCATATCCCCTGTCACCAGCTCTCAAGACAATGAGTAGGTAACGTGTCCTCTTACCCTTGAAAAATGAGGGATTGTTTCTATCAGAAGCAAGATTATAAAGTAGATTTCAATTATCTTTGATATGCTTTTCTCATCAACCACTACATCTGGGAACCTTTTCTTTAAACTTACTTTAATTTCTTATTGTCATTAATGCCTTCTTAATGCCTAAGGTCTTTAACTATAAGGTGTTGTTACTGTTCCAGAAAAGGGCTAAATATAACCTCCCTATGGCAAATCCCAGTACTATCAAAAGCAATTTAATGAAGAAAGATAACCTTTTCAACAAATGTATAGGCAACCAAATAAATCTTGACCTAAATTTCAGATCTTATATTTCTATACTAATAATTATATTTGCTTTCCTTTTATTCTTACCTTTCCCTATCTTTTCCCTACTTGTGTTGCTTCTGCCTAGTATCAGTTCTCTATGAAACTCTTAAATTTAAGTCTAACAAACACTTAAATTTAAGTCTTAACAAAAAAATATATTAAAAACTTAAATGTAAAAAAAATAACTTAAAAAATAGAAAAAAATAAGCCTTGTTAATACCACTAAAACTGACATCAATCTAGATAAAAATGTATAAATAAACTGGCATATTCATACCATGCAATACTATAAACTACTGCTACAAGCAATAACTTGGATGAATCTCCAGAGAATTATGCTGAGTGAAAAAAGCTAATCCATAATAGTTACATACTATGTAATTCTATTTATATAACATTCTTGAAATGAAAAATTATAGAAATGGATAGCATAGTACTCGTCAGGGGTTAGGGAGGGAATACGCATGAAAGGAAAGTGATAATGGCTGTTAAATGTCAACATGAGGGATCCTTGTGGTAATAAAAAAAAGGTCTGAAAATCTTGACAGTGTCAATATCAATATCCTGGTTGTGATATTTTTTTTTAAATATATTTTATTGATTTTTTACAGAGAGAAGGGAGAGAGATAGAGAGTTAGAAACATAGATGAGAGAGAAACATCGATCAGCTGCCTCCTGCACATCCCCCACTGGGGAAGTGCCCGCAACCCAGGTACATGCCCTTGACCAGAATCGAACCTGGGACCCTTCAGTCCGCAGGCCGACGCTCTATCCACTGAGCCAAACGGGTTTCGGCCTGGTTCTGATATTGTTTTGTAATTTTGCAAGATGTCACCATTGGGAGAAACTGGAAAATGTACATGAGCTCTCTCTATATTATCTGATAAAACTGCAGATGAACCTAAAATTATCTCCAAAAAAGTTTAATGAAAAAAGCAAAGCAGTATGAAAACAAAATGAACAGAATTTAAGTGACCAGTGGGAAAAAAAAACATATAATAAACTAGAATCTCAGAAAGAGAGAATAGAGAATTAGGAAAAGAAAAAAAAACTTTGAAAGAAAATAACTAATTTTCCAAATTTGAAGAAAATTAAACCCACATACTCTAGAGTCTCAATTAACCCGAGCAGAATAAAAATAGAGAAAACTGAACCATGATACTTCATGAACAAATGGATGAAAACCAGTAATAAAGAGAAAATCTTAATAGGATCCAAAGGACAAAGAAAAGCTCATTACATAAAGGAGAAGAAAAGATAAAAATGACTGCCTGTGTCTTGTTGAAATTTATTTTAAGTTCAATAGTAAACCAATAAAGATTTTAAGTGGATAAGTGATAGGGTTAAAAGTAAAATTTCCAGATCTCCTGAATTTTGGTGTAATAATCTATTTATTGAAGATTATAAAACACTAGTAGCCCAGTGCACAAAAATTTGTGCGGGGGGGCGGGGGGGGCTCAGTTATTAAACATTTATTGGCACAGCACTGACCACATTGGTGGTGGTGGTGGTCTTGTCAGAATGTGTTATATTATGCAGATGAAAATCTATTTAAACAGATTTGATGTAGATATTTTCAAAGATGGAAGAATTGTCCCTGTCAACTATTTTAGTTGATTCATATCTTCACTAATTGTCATCATTGCAAAGTTTTCAGTCCCCATATGGATTGCTGGATATAATAGGCCATGCGCTGTCCCTGTCCTTTGTAGCCTTTGTCACCTTAAGGACTCTAGTTTTCCATTTGTATGTTTAAGTACCAACCTTACCGGCTTAAAAATGTAAGCTTTTAACACTGCTCTCTCTGTTCCATATCATTCAGATGAAAAGTGGAGTTGGGTTGCAGCACAGAAGAGAAATTCAGAAGGGGAATATTGAAGTAATGACTGTAGTAGGAGAAGAGGGAACCTATTTCCCTGGCCACAGGTGCTGGTGCCCTGGACCACAGGGCTGGCAGCTTCTCCGGGTGGCTGCAGCCTGGGACCTCGGGCAGGTGGCTTGTCAGTCTCCTGGGATACAGCCAGCTGCAGGCACTGGCGCCTGGACCAAAGGTGGGTGGCTTCTTCTTCTGGCAGCTTCTTCTTCTTCTGTGCTTCCAGGGAGGGCAGTCAGTTATGTGTATATATGTGTGCATGCAAACATAGGCGTGTACACGTGTGTATGTGGAAATCTGCTGGGCAAGTCAAAACCATAGAAGAGTTGCCCCCATCTCTTGAATCTTCCAGAGATACCCCCCACTCTTTTATTCTATTACTACTGGAGGGTCAGTGTTTGCAGCCAGCCAGCCAGTGACTCTCTTAGTGTCTATTTCTGACTTCTTCTTTCCCTGTCTGTCTTCCAACCCCTAATCATATTTCCACTTGGATGCATCATCTTTACTCCCAATATGCTGTATAGAGAAGGAGTCAGGATGCTGTCTTCCCATGAATGATACTCAGTAAAAAACCAATTGCATTTTAGTTGGGCAATGCCCCTACCCACCCTTCAAATCCCTTCCGCCATGTATTTCTGTTTCCCTTTTTGTTTGTTGGATTGTTCTGCTGCTCCTTCTCCTCACCCCACCACCCTTGGATAGTAATGTAAAATTCTTTTACCATGTCAAGAAAATATTAAAAATACAGGTACTTTGAAAAAAAAAAAATACAGGTGCTTCTCCAAACATCAGCTGCAGCCGCCGGCCTCTTCCCTGGCCGGTGTTCAGAGAAGTACCTGTATTTTTTTTTTCCAAAGTACCTGTATTTTTAATAATTTCTTGACTTTTTTTTAAATGACTTTTCCCAGGTTTTAGATTTGGAGGGAAGGTCTTAAGCTTAGAACAACTCAGAACAAAATCTAGGAGAGTGGGAGGGACAGCCAAGCTCACAAAGCAGGTGGTGTGGGCACTTCTGGTGGGGTCCAGGCTGCCCTCTGTCCCCAAATCCACCCTCCACCTGAGTGTTCACCCCAATGTGCAGGAGATGTGATGCGAACCAGCCCCCTGTATTCAGAACCGGGCTCTGGCCATGTATAAACATCTCATTTATACCTCTGGCTACAGCCAGCTGCACACAAAAGGTTAGGAGTCCTGAAGCTTGTCCTGGCGAGGAGAAAGGGTGCGGCCCTCTGTGCCCTCAGAGCCTGCATGCCCATGGCCTCCAGCATAGAAGATGAGCTCGGGGATCTGCCCTCCCTGCACCCCGGTGCCGTTGGTGCTGTCGGAGGAGCACTGGAACTGGAAGGTCACCTTCCCGCACTGCATCTCCGTCAGGCCCTCCTGCCCAAAGTAGCTGAGTTCACTGCTGTCCAGCACAGTGCTGGCCATGTAGAAGGTGTCCTGCTCCACCTGCACCAGGTGCTCGAACAAGACCGGGAAGGTGCTGCTGGAGCCGTCGGACACGAACCTGGTCAGGTTCTGGGCGAGGACCACCCGCAGGCACTTGAGCTCGATCTTCACACTGTACTCGGCTTTCCTGGAGCTGGACCCGTACAGACGCAGCCACGCCACAAATACCCTCCTGTCTGCCGCAAACTGGATGCTGTCACAGCACCCCTGGTAGTGCCACTGGTTGCTGCAGTAGGCCGAGGACTGGAAGCAGTGGCACCAGGCCTTGCCTCTTGGTCACCGGGAAGTCGAGTGTGGGCTTGTTGGCCACTGTGTACCACAGGAAGATGTTGTGGGTCTCCCCCAGCATCAGGATGTCCGACTGGGCAGCACCATTGGCAAACTCCTCCAAAGTCATGGTCGGAATGCGGACCAGGTAGAGGGCTGGCCCCAGGACGTGCCTCTTGTTGCACAGGATGGCGGGCAGGCCCTGCCACTTGCACTTGGCCTCGGCCCAGTTGAGCACGGCCTCAAAGACCACCGCCTCCTTGGTGTTGAGGGCCTTCTGGGTGACGACGACCTCCAGGGTCTGCCAATTGATCTCGCAGAAGCCCTCGGACCACAGGGCCATCTCTGCCTGCACATCAATGACCTCCCAGCAACGCTGGGTCAGCTCAGGCTCCTCAAACAGCTGGCTCTGTGACAGCAGGACACAGACATTCTTGGCTTCCAGGCTCATCTCCAGGAAGTGCACATAGGCTTTCACCAGCGGCCACCTCTTCCCTGCCCTGCCCGGCTTCTCCGATCACTGATCACCAGCAGTGGGGGGCAGGGAAGAGGCAGATGCCAGCGGCCACCTCTTCCCTGCTCTGCCCGGCTTCTCCAATCACCGATCACCGGCGGGTCGGGGGAAGGGGGCAGGGAAGAGGAGGCCGCCAGCAGCCGCCTCTTCCCTGCCTCCCAGCTCTTGCCTGCCACCTGGGTTTCTGATCACCATCAGCGACAGGCGGCTTCTTCCATCCTTCCCCTTTTGCATACCAGCATTGCACCTACATATGCAAATTAACTGCCATCCTTGTCGGCAGTTAACTGCCATCTTTGTTGGCAGTTAATTTGCATATCACCCTGATTAGCCAATGGGAAACATACCGAAGGTACGGTCAATTACCATGTTTGTCTATTATTAGATAGGATATGTGTATTTTATTAAGAAAATGCTTCATTTCATAACAGTCACCCTGAAGGCACGTGGGATAAAATCTTTCACCGACTTTGCAATCTTAAATCCCTCAGTATCTTGCATGCTTATACACTCTTAAGATGTTTCAAATTAAAAAGAAATTGTTGTTTCTTTTTCACTTCCTATAGAACTTGGAGAATATAAATAAGAAGGTAATTTGTATGGGTAAACTGGCATATTTCACTAAATATGTTAGTTTAACAGCAGTTTAAAATAATATATAGCAATTTATCATGGACAGCTCAAATTCTGGAAATTATTTAAAAAATGATTATTAGTCACAATTTTGGAAAATGTTTGAGCAAAAAATATATTTTATGTATTTTCAATATGACTTCAAACCTTATTTGGGCTTTTAAAAACTATCAGATAAAAATAAGATTTAACAATTCAAAGGTTGGTTCTAATTATAATATTTATCTCAAATGAATTTTTCCATATATTCTACTATCAGGAGACGTATTGCAAAAGTACAGCTAGAGAGGCAGTTTTGAGTTATTTATAAAATTAAACATGTATCTACCTTGCAAACTATATGGGCCAATTTAAACTTCTAAATTTTTATGGAAAGTACACTTTTAGAATTTGTGCAAATGTACACTAAAGCAGCTAAACATTATTTTATTATAACCAGTTACACAAATTTCAAACAGCCCAGAATTTTTCTGGGAACCAGAATTCTGGCAGTTAAAGACAGGGTTAAGATGTCATGGGGAGAAATCACTTTCTCAGAAATATAGTATATTGGTAACCTCTATGCACATCCCTATAGGCCCAAGAGCATTTGTTAAAGGCACTTACTAGTTAGAGTCCCTGATCTCATCTCTCTTTAGATTCTAACTTCTTGACTTTCAAACATGATTCAAAGCCAATTATTCTACTCCTAAGGTTTGTTTAACAAAGTACCCATGTGGCTAAACAATGCACATCTTTATACATGAAAATACAATGACATTTTATCAGGAAACATGTTCTGGCCCAAGAAATATTTTGCCGAGAAAAATTACTTGAACATATGGTAATAAAAATATGCACTCTAAAATTCTGATAGGTTCTGTAATCATTGATATTGAAATATAATGGGCTCTCCATTTTTGCAGTAATTATACAATGTAGAGTATGTCTGGGCCCTTAGCACTTCTCTTCTCTGGATCAATTCCTACTCTTCTTTCAAAAGTTAGGTGTTATTGCCTTTTAAAAGCCCTCTCCACACCTTTAGGCTGGCTTACGTGCTATTCACGTGGGTTCCCCTAATATTTATGCACACCTTTACTACTGTGCCGCTACACTCGCGCACTTGTCTCCCTTTCCAGACCTGGACAGAGCTTCTTAAGGGCAGGGACCTCTGACTTTTGTATCCAAGAATTCATTTCCAAACCCGGTGCCTGCCACGGATTAGGAATGTGAAAATGTCCCTTGCTTGCATGAAGGAAATAAATGACAACTCAATAAGTGAAAGGATGGTGAGGAAGGTCAGTAAATTGTCTCTCTGGTAAAATACCAAATTGCTATTTTGAGCCTGAAATAAATAAATCCTCAAAGCAAAAATGAGATAAAACAATATTTGGTACATGCTCTTTAAAAAGAGACAGAAAATCCCCCAAACCTTTAGATTTTCCTTTTAAGTTTTGCTCATAGCTAATATTATTCATTTCATGCATTCACTATATCTGTTCAAGTCCCTCAGTGACTCAAGTCTTCTTTCTAGCTCAGCATTATGGATCCCTTTCATCTGGTCCTAGATAAAATGCAAGAAATCTATTTAGTGCCTGGAGAGAAGCGTGGCTGCCTTTGGAGCTTCTACACGCTTAATGAACTACATGTTCCCTTTAAAGACTAATTCAAACCAACCAGAGTTAGGGTCATTATGAGGCTTACAAGGGCTCTCAGACATGAAATCCTCGCTAAGAATCTAACTGAGATTCATAATCAACAGCACCTCAGTTTATGAGACACTAGGATTGTATTCATCAAAGTACAATATAAGACTTTGTATTGACTCCATGAAGAAACCAACCACATCTTCCTATGCTGCTATAGTTTAGTCTAGCTGTCAATTTGGCAGTTCCTGGGTTGCAAATTGTGGATACTATTGCTTAACATTCATGTCTGGTTCACATCCCAGCAGTGGCAGTTCACCATCTACAATCATGTTTCCTAACTGCAGCCCAGCCCAGCTGGAGAACCAATTTCTAACACAATTGCAGTTAGCTCTGACAAGAGGTCTGGTAGTCAAATGCCACATTCTCAGAGGTACTTGGAGACGGCTGTGTGAAGCATTAATAGATGCAATGGGGAAATCAATGGACAGGAGCTAAACATTCTTTTAAAAGTTAAATATATAATTTAAAATTTCCTATGCCTCAGAATTGCTATAATAATTATTGTCTAGAATACTCATGTTGACATTTAACATGCTAAACTTTCAAAATGCCACAGAGAAAAGATCAGAGGGACATCAATGCGGAGCCGGACTCTGCCCAAGCCACTAGCTCTGTGACCTTGAGACAATCACTTGACTTATTGAAGCCTTAAGTCCCTTATCTGTAAAACAAGCATAATACTAATTATGGGGTTGTTATGAATGTTAAGTGAAGCAACCTATGCAAGGAAACTAACACTATACCAGAATATTATAGGGACTCAATAAGTATCCGGCATTATTAGTATAAATATAATAAAGAGAGAAATTGAAATAAGCTAGTATCAGAAAGAGAGATTTTAGAATTCAAGATATTTGAAGTAAAACAACTATGAGAGGTATGAAAATCCAGAGTGTATACTTAAACCTGAATGGAGTTGGGGAAATAAAGAATTCTTATGGAGGGAGTTAAGAGATTCAAGACAAATACTAAAGTCAGCAAAGATTCACTAAATTCTTACCATGTGTAAGGTACTAGGAGAAAAAGATAAATAAAGTATTCACATTGCCCTCAAGGAGTTTACACTGTGTGGGGAAATGAACAAGTAAGTACTTATGGGAAAAGACTAGAAGGACAAGATCAAGTACTAGGAAAAGAACCGGGGTAGGAAAGATTAAGTCCTCAAAATATGAAGGAAGAAACTTTCGAAAAGAAAGTCAAGAGCAAACTGCTGAGGGGTGTAGAGTCACCAAAAAGGGCTAGAATTTATGAGTGTTTCCCTTGTGCTAAGCATAGTTATAGGTACTTCTCACATATTCAATACATCATTCAAGTAAGTTGAGGACAAGTTATTTACTGGATGGTAGCAGGGAGCAAGAAGATGAATTTGGAAGAGATAATAGCTCTGAGCTACATTTGGAAATCTTAAATAATAGTGATTATTATAATAATTATAGATACTTATTAAAATTACAGATAATGTTTCTATAGGGCTTAATATGTTCTACACACTGTTTTAAGAAAGGGCTTTACATATATTCATTCATTTAATCTTCACAACAACTCAGTGAAGTAGGTACAATTTAGTCTCCATTTTATAGATAAAGAAACTGAAGCAGAAAACACATTCAAAGTCTCTAAGGTAAAAAGTGACAGACGGGATTTGTGGAAAAAGAGGGCTTTAAACCCATGTGGCTGAATTCAGAACCTGTTTCTAACTCTTACACTATATTGGAGGGAGAGACCCTGGGTGCTCTCTCTCATGATAGTTTTAGAGATGGGCTGCTAACAAATATCCTATATAATAAAACCCTAATATGCAAATTGACCAAACTGCAGAACAACCGGTCGCTATGACATGCACTGACCACCAGGGGGCAGACGTTCAATGCAGGAGCTGCCCCCTGGTGGTCAGTGTGCTCCCTCAGGGGAGTGCCATTCAGCCAGAAGCCGGGCTCACTGCAGCACTAAGGAGCCCTGCAGGCAGGTGGTAAGGGGCGAGGGGTCCCGGTCTGCAGGAGAGCCTAAGCCAGCAGGCAGACATCCCCCGAGGGGTCCCGAACTGCAAGAGGGTGCAGTCCAGGCTGAGGGACCCCCTGCTCCAGTGCACAATTTTTGTGTACTGGGCCTCTAGTATCTTATAAAGGGCAATATACCCAGCTGATGAGGGCTTCAGAAAATAATTGGCAAAGAGAAAGAATTAAATTTAGCCAATAATAATGAATAAAAGGGACAGAAAAGCTGAAAAGGAAATGGGGCTTTTCTTCCTGGGGAAAAATGGGATGGAGGAAAAGTTTGAGCATGTACAGGAATTGGTTCGTAAATCTCAGTAAGCAAGCAACGAGAGCCTGCAAGGTGAGGCCTCTGGAAGGGTGACCAGGTGGGGTGTTTATGGTTTGAGCATAGGATTTGGTGTCATCAGTAAGACTGAATTCCAGTCCTGACTCTGTCAAGAAAGTTTTGTGACCCTGCAGCTGACAAGTACTCTTTCTGCTTTAGCTTTCTAGCCATTTATTGTGAGTCCGGCAACTTACTAAGCTCTTTACATGCATTATCCTATTTACTCTTCATTCACAACCTTATGATATACTAGAGGCCCAGTGCATAAAATTTGTGCATGGAGAGGGGTGTCCCCTCAGCCCAACCTGCACCCTCTCCATTCCAGGACCTCTGCAGGATCAGGCCTAAACAGGCAGTCGGACATCCCTCTCACAATCTGGGATTGCTGGCTCCTAACCACTCACCTGCCTGTCTCCCTGATCACTCCTAACTGCCGCCCCCTGCCGGCCTGGTCACCCCTAACTGCCCTCCCTTGCTGGCCTGGTCGCCCCTAACTTCTCACCCCTGCTGGCCTGGTCACCCCTAACTGCTCTCCTCTGCCGACCTGATTGCCCCTAACTGCCTCTGCCTCGGCCCCTGCCATGATGGCTTTGTTCAGAAGGACATCTGGAAGGATGTCCAGAAGATGTCTGGTCCAATTAGCATATTACCCTTTTATTAGTATAGATGTATGAGTACTATTCCCAAACAAGAGATGAGGAAATACTAAAGATTTAGATAAATGCTTATCATCCCAGTGAGTGAGGGAGCTGAGACTCCAACCCAGATCTATCTGACCCCACAGTCCTGTAGACCAAGCATGTCAAACTCGTATAAATGATGCATGCAACCTGCTGGCCACGAGTTTGAAATGCTTGCTGT